TTCATAAGCGCTGGTATATTTGTAATTGGCCATGTGACACCACAGTATATCCTGTTCGGGCTATCCTTGTCATCATTATTGATAATTCCCCACCCTTTTATCAACAGCTGCGCATCAGTAATATAGGTTAAGATAAACGTGTCACCAACTGGACAAAACACAGCATATCAAATGAAGTATGCAATGAGGTTAGATTTTTTATTTAATAAAAATTTAATATCAAAACCGAGTTTTGTGTTATTTTTTAAAAATTGTATCTCGATGTTATATTGTAAGTCTTAGTACATGCATATCGATTATTTAAATGACCTATCTTATTTCACCACGGACTCAGATCTATATAAAAGTCCAGCAGAATAGTCGGACGGTTCGGAATATACACATACAATCTGATTAAAATACAGGTCTTAATTTAACCTCTCCATTTTTTTTGTAAATGGACGGAAAATGTTGAATTGGTAAATAAAGATATATATTTAAAATCAGATGGAATACATCTTAATTAAACTTATTCATTTTGCTACAATAATGAAACAACGAAACAAGTTATTTCAACTTATATTATCACTCTTGTTGGCCCGGATGTAAGCGCGCGAGGGATCTTAGTGTGGGAGGAGACTGGAGTACCCGGGACAAACCCACGTGGTCTGGCAGGTGACTCCTAACCCTTTCTAATCCTCTCCGGGAGTTACCACTGCTCAAACCGACCATCTTATATACATGACGTTTACATGAAATGACGAACTTTCTTGAATTATGGAGTAAGTGCACTCAATCATCTAGACTGATAAACTGTTCTTGTCTATATTTACATACTTTTTTTTCTAATCTCAGGTATGTCGAAATATTTTGTTTCGTTTTCCAGTTCAAACAGGTGTATTTGCATTTTCTTATGTATACATTTAGCTGCGCTGCTTGTTTATACTTTCAATCCATTAAGCATACAACATTGGTGAAATGAGATAAACATGTTGTTATCGATTGCAAATCAATAACAGTGATGTTATTTCGTTAATTTGAGTGGATTAGTTGGCTATTGATTATTGCTTATCCTGTGACGTAGTATTCTTTTGGAAAAAAGGACATTTAAGCGCTACGCGTGTTAGTTTAGTAAAGCTTCCATCGTCGATATGATAACGACAGGACCTTCAGTGGCTAAGGACAGGGTGCCATGGTTACTGGTCCAGTCAACATGCCTACTGACATGTGTGATAACAAATATGGCGCTCATCCAGGTAACAAGGACTTTTGAGTTATACTGAAGGTAAGTTGGAATCATTCCGATAAGGCGAGGGATAAAATCACTTATATTGATTTATCATTTTAATTATCAAAATTACTTAGATAAAGATTATGTTTATCTGATTTCTACCGTTGTTTACCTTATATAGGTATGTAAAGAGGTATGTCACTACAAAGCTATATCTCAGCTGTTACAGAAAAGGACGATATTCATGCTAAAGTCATTTCAGTTTAGTTTGGAAAAATTACGATATGGTTTTGAATATCTTGCTATTATTTACATATATATATAGTACATGTTTACTTAGTACATTCTTCAGTTTTCGCATTTTTCACTATTTTGGTTACTGAAATCAACAAATGGTTGAAATAGCAAGTTCAGTACATTTTAGTTTCAGGTGTACGATAGTAGACCCAGGTGTGATAACAAAGTCACAATAAAGTGAAGTTAGAATCGCCTTGCTTTTAGTAAAAGACAACTGGATTATATTCACTCAGGAGATCTCCTTTTGTCATCGATTAGGTCATATCAATTAAAATTGAATACAACATGCGTTTGTGGAAACACCAGGCCCCCGGTTGCAACAAAATTCAGAAGTGGAACATTTAAACTATCATGTAATGCATGTGCCAATTGCGTGCAAACTTTGTGAAACACTTATGTATTCATTGTGGTAATGATTTTTTTAAATGTAGGTCAAAGGTCAAGGTCAAGATTACATGGTGAAAAAATAAAACACTGGAAAGGTCTTGGCACGAGGAACACACATGCCAAATATGAAAGCCATACCTCTATGATGTAATAGTTATGGCTAATGCTATTTTTTTTCAAAAGTCAATGTCAATGTCACATGATGACAAATTTTGAAACCACCGGAAAGGTCTTTTCACAAGGAATACTTATGCCATGTATGAACACACAGAAAAAAAGTCCCCGATCTTTTCATCTGGGGACATAATGACTCTGTGAGCAAAGACGCCGAATCTATCTTCAGGCAATAAACACAGACGAACTGATAAGCTCTGATTTTTTCCAATGTAACCATGCAGCAATATATTTCTCTGTGACAAGGATTTGGTCTGACTGTACAGAAAAGAAAATTAAAGAAAGAAAGACAGACAGAAAGTTTGATTCTATATCAGTTCACAGTGTTATATGACTAGGGAGGTAGATTTAAATGTCCCTATTTTGAAACATTGTGTTGCTAAATTGCAATTTTATGTAATTGTTTTGTAAAATTTTTAATACTGTCATGGGCGCCACCGGAAGTCGTTCACTTACTTATTGATTCAATTGTCATCATGTCGCAAAATAGTTAAGTATTGACTTTGAATAAAACATCCCCTATAAACGATTCTATAGCTACCATCCCTAGACCTAGCAGTCATATACTGTATTGCTTCATTTCCCCATAAATGGAATGCATCTTATTTGTAATGTCGGCGAATCCGATTGATTTACAGCTTGAATGTATTGTGGTTATTATTGTCAGTGGTTCTGAAGTAATAGCGAAATTGACGTCACATTTGAATCGAATTTATTTCTTGTTATCTAAGCGACAGATGGGTATCTTTGCATTACACGATCCCTCATTGATCGCATCACTATTACGTTAATAATGACTAATCATTTGAAATCTGGGTTTGGTAGCAATTTACAGAAGATGGAAACAAATCATTTGCATGACCTTTGCAGTCAAGGTAAAAAGTCTTTCTGGCATAGCAGATATTGATTAGAACTAGATGAAATAACGAGTTGTTACTTTTATTTTCAGATTTTCTCTCTTTCTAATCTCTCCTTTGGAAAAAATGAACATTTCGCTGATAGATATTGAATTTAGAATATTACCTTCACAATTTTTACCAGTCAATCTTACTCATTTCCAGTATATTTAATTCTGGTGTTCATCTTTGACGGTGTAGTCCAGGTAATCGTTAGACAATTAAATGCAGATTTCTATGTCTCGCCTCTTTCAATAATAATTCATTAATTCCTCAAAATTGAACACTCTAATGTCAGACGGTAACAAATATGTATTTGCAACATATAAATTATTGTCAATTTTCTCCCTGTAGATGTTTGATTTGAATATATTTCACGAATACCATAGTCTTAAGAAATCATATCAAGAATGACAAATGACATGATATAGAAATATTCTTTGTATCTTTGTAATTCAACATCGAACTTACTCTTCCGGAACACCTGGTCTTATTCTTCTTGTACTTGTTCAGGAGACATGTTGGTATTTTCTTATTGTTTATCGTAGAAAAACCCAAACATTTCATCTCGTGATATTTGTAGTCACACTTCGTTAAATATCTTTAAAAAAGATGTGTTCTCCAATAAAACACGACAGCCTGTGTTTTACTATTTTCAAATTTGCGTTGGTATTTTATAAGTTATACAAACCTTGTATGGGTATATCACTGTTAAATGAAGGTTTCAGTTCCGTGGTCGAACACGTGAACTATGAGAGTCGTTCCAACATTTCTATCTGGCCCTCGAACACCGACGAGTATCTGTATTTATCACAAACTTCTTAACTGTTGTCCAATACCTACGGTTATCACTTAAGAAAATAAAAAGTTTATTTTCTGATAAATACCACGAGTTTTCAAGAAAAAAATCATCCCCCGAGTTCGAAAAGATGAGTATGATAAAAAGTTCCAGCCTTTTTATAGATATCATAAAATGTTTAATTCTAATTAAAAAAGATTGTCTGTGTAAAATTTTCCGAGTTAGTTCCGTTTAACATCCTATCAAATTATCCTTTTATGGTCATGAATACGAGTTAATACTTAGGAAAGATACTCTCCACATGAAAATGATCACCTGATCACGCTGACACGACTTAATGAATATGGATTCATATTTCATGTTCGTTTAACCTGTCACTAATAGTCAGATTGTTCCGGGAATGTCATAGATAAGATATGGCAGCCATTACGGATACGATGATGTCCTGGCATTTTGCCAAACATATCTTCGTTATAGGTAGATGATAGACGATTATGTGAGAATTATTCAGGTTAACAAGGAATACCGATTGTGTTTATGTTGTGATTTGATGTATAATCTGTCGAGGTGTAGTCTTGTTAAAAATTCGTAAATAACTTTAAATATGAAGTAAGAATTTTTGTGATTGAACGGACCCAAACAGTGATAACAGTTACAATATTTGAATACGTGGTAGATGTATTATTTAACTTAACGCAATATAAAAGATAAGCTACATTTTTTTTTCTTTCCGAAACATGTAAAAGTTCAAAATATAGGTGACTGTTGCGTTAATACTCACCTTTCATACTGCATAGAATTACTCTTGTTTTTAAACGGCGAGGAATTGTTTCTTCATATCGAATTTCATTGAAAAATGACAAAAAAAAAAAAAAAAAAACACACAAACAAACGAACGGAAAAACCTACCAAATTATTGTGAAGACTGAAATGATGATACGCATTAACTGTCACCTTCTTTATCAATAATTATTGTAAACTCACAGTCATTGATTAAACTAAGGTAATATTTTTTATATGAAATAATCCGATCATTTGCGTGAACGCACGTTGTTTTTCGTTTACTACAATGTGTATGTTTCTTTCTATTGGATCGTCGTTTTTGTTCCAGTATGTTTACCTTTTTATTTTCTTTATTTTTCAGACATCGAAGCGTAGTAGCCTTTACTAGTGAATCACTGACTGACCAGCATGGGATCAGGAGGATGATCTTCAGAGATTCGGACATCATGTAGGAATGACTTCAATGTGTACACGGATCTTTCTAATAACCATGTATACAACCATTGTTCGAGGTAAGATGGCTGTAATATCTGATACTGAGCAAGAACAGAAACTAAAAAAATAATCTACATTGATGCATTCTTAAAAAAAAGTTCAATACAATTTGATCTTTGATTTTACTTAGGTTTCACATTCAATTTTCGCGATCGTTCCTGTTTGGTCTTGTTCAGGAGGATTAAATTTAGCGATCCTTCCTGTTTGGTCTTGTTCAGGAGGATTAAGTTTAGCGATCGTTCCTGTTTGGTCTTGTTTCTGAGAATTAAATTTAGCGATCGTTCCTGTTTGGTCTTGTTCAGGAGGATTAAATTTAGCGATCGTTCCTGTTTGGTCTTGTTCAGGAGGATTAAGTTTAGCGATCGTTCCTGTTTGGTCTTGTTCAGGAGGATTAAATTTAGCGATCCTTCCTGTTTGGTCTTGTTCAGGAGGATTAAGTTTAGCGATCGTTCCTGTTTGGTCTTGTTCAGGAGGATTAAGTTTAGCGATCGTTCCTGTTTGGTCTTGTTTCTGAGAATTAAATTTAGCGATCGTTCCTGTTTGGTCTTGTTCAGGAGGATTAAGTTTAGCGATCGTTATTGTTTGGTCTTGTTCAGGAGGATTAAATTTCGCGATCGTTATTGTTTGGTCTTGTTCAGGAGGATTAAATTTAGCGATCCTTCCTGTTTGGTCTTGTTCAGGAGGATTAAGTTTAGCGATCGTTCCTGTTTGGTCTTGTTTCTGAGAATTAAATTTCGCGATCGTTCCTGTTTGGTCTTGTTCAGGAGGATTAAATTTAGCGATCGTTCCTGTTTGGTCTTGTTCAGGAGGATTAAATTGAGCGATCGTTCCTGTTTGGTCTTGTTCAGGAGGATTAAATTTAGCGATCGTTCCTGTTTGGTCTTGTTCAGGAGGATTAAGTTTAGCGATCCTTCCTGTTTGGTCTTGTTTCTGAGAATTAAATTTAGCGATCGTTCCTGTTTGGTCTTGTTCAGGAGGATTAAATTTAGCGATCGTTCCTGTTTGGTCTTGTTCAGGAGGATTAAATTTAGCGATCGTTCCTGTTTGGTCTTGTTCAGGAGGATTAAGTTTAGCGATCGTTCCTGTTTGGTCTTGTTTCTGAGAATTAAATTTAGCGATCGTTCCTGTTTGGTCTTGTTCAGGAGGATTAAGTTTAGCGATCGTTATTGTTTGGTCTTGTTCAGGAGGATTAAATTTCGCGATCGTTATTGTTTGGTCTTGTTTCTGAGAATAAAATTTAGCGATCGTTATTGTTTGGTCTTGTTCAGGAGGATTAAATTTCGCGATCGCTCCTGTTTGGTCTTGTTTCTGAGAATTAAATTTCGCGATCGTTATTGTTTGGTCTTGTTCAGGAGGATTAAATTTCGCGATCGCTCCTGTTTGGTCTTGTTTCTGAGAATTAAATTTAGCGATCGTTCCTGTTTGGTCTTGTTCAGGAGGATTAAATTGAGCGATCGTTCCTGTTTGGTCTTGTTCAGGAGGATTAAATTTAGCGATCGTTCCTGTTTGGTCTTGTTCAGGAGGATTAAATTTAGCGATCGTTCCTGTTTGGTCTTGTTCAGGAGGATTAAATTTAGCGATCGTTCCTGTTTGGTCTTGTTCAGGAGGATTAAATTTAGCGATCGTTCCTGTTTGGTCTTGTTCAGGTGGATTAGATTTCGCGATTGTTCCTGTTTGGTCTTGATCAGGACGATTAAATTTTGTGTATGTCTATACATAGGTATCCATGTTTTCAGGCATATAACATACATTTCGTGATATTTTGATTTTCTTTTGAATCCCTGATATTATTATCAATTATACAATAATAAGGTGTTTTTGTTATTAGATTACTCTTTTAAATGGCGTTTTTGCATGGCAACAAAATCTATCACATCATAGATGACAAAATAATATAAAAATGGCGCTGTCGACACAAGGATTGTCTCTTAGTCTTTCATAGAAATGTTATAATTTCTTATTTTTCTCCAGTATGTTCGAGTTGTGCTTCCACGATAACGTTACAGGCGGAACATTACTCACAGACATTGGTGTCACTTGATACAACTCGAAATAAAACAGGGTGAGTTGTAAAGCTTATACAAAAGGCAAAAAAATATCACCCTCCAAGATAAAATAGAGCCAAATGGTAAATTAAACAGCATCATAAAGCTGCTGTCTCCTTCTAGGAGTCGCCACTGATGCTAAGAGCCTGTAGTGATCGAAAGTAATGTCAAAATCTAGATGTAAATATATACTATATTTCAATATTTCGCCAGATTCCTACTTTTCTAGCTCGTTTCTTAGGCCTCCAAATTTGACACTTTTATCACCAGTGTTCCATATAATTACGATATAACTGTATTATCGATTTTCCTAGAATTACGAAAACAGCTGTAACGTTGATATAACATTTTACTATTAAGTCTCCTATTTTTATATGGTTAGAAAGGATATCATAGTCAATACAAAGTCGAACTTCGTTATCTCGAACTTGTATAACTCAAAGACTATTTAATTCTAAAAATTCCGGTCAAACTTAACACAAAACATTCGAACTCACTTATGTCGAATAATCGGATAACTCGAAATTTTCAAACGACCCCGCCGACTTCTAGATAACGGAGTTTTACTGTAAATCATTTTAATTGAATATTGCATAGAATAATCTGTTTCAAATACATTGTCTTCACATTGATGATAGTTTTAATTCTCGATTTCTTCGGACCACAGGCCATATAGATGTTCTTGGCTGATACGAGCGTCCAACACAAGCCACCTAATAGAAATACAGATGTTAAATGTCTACCTGTCTCCAGCATCGTCTTGTCAAATGGATAACGTCATCCTCTCCAAAGGTATACAAATATTACAATGATTGAATTTTACAACTGTTTGACCTTACAATCAGAGAGGGTCAATTACGATTTTTATGACCATTTAAGTGAAGCAGTATCCATATATTCAACGAGATCCAGCACGTATGTTCAGCTGGAGAGGTGAAGAACAAAAATCAATTTGAATCGATTCCATTCGTCACCTCTTCAATATTCAAGATTGTTATGTTATAAAGAATGTAAAAAGTTACGATATGACGTCATTTTTGTAATGTTAATTCACACAAGAAATAAAACTATCTAGTTAAAGAAACGAACCTTTGAACAACTATGAGAAATATAACCATGACTAGGAACAGTAAAATGTCTGTGATCAATTTAGATAATTCAATAGTTTCATTGTTTATGTTAAACAAACAGAAAATGTGAAAATATTTATTTGAGTTGATGGCAATTTTACATAAATTTCCAGTTATTAATCAAAATTAATTTTTATTTACCAAAATTATCATGTCAGATCGAAGGTCACTGACAACAGTATACATGTAATTATTTATAGGATGAACAAATACTACCGAATTTTGTAGATATACCATCCCTATGAAACAGGACCTTTTAGAAATGTTATTCCCTTCTAACTTGTATACTATGAGAGCATATATACTATTTCACCCAAAGTTTGACCGCAGAATTTATTGCTTTATTGGGGGTAAATCTGATTGTAAGCCTTTGAAGATAACAGCTTAAGTATTATAGAAATTCGGTGTCATGACGGCAGAAATGTATCTAATGTTGTCGAGTATTGACACTATCGATGTGTGACTCCTGACACTGGGAGAAAGTGATATAACGGACAAATCCTTAGACTTAGTACGAAATCTAATCCTATAACTTCATCAGAACGCGTATATACACATGGAAGTGATTTTAAAAGCCTAGTCAGCTTGAAACATACTACACCTGCTTTAAAACAGGACATTTAAAGATACGTTTTAATTTAGAATGTGAGAGAGTGCGAAATATTTGTCAACAGATGAGAAATATCAAGTAAACGAAATATGCTATGTTTTAAAAGGACGAAGAAATCAATTAAAAAAATGCACGAACACTTTCAAAGTTGACAGAGCTATACATATTAACTTACCATGTTTGTTTATATCTCACTGGGTAGTAAACCTAGTGTTTCCTTGATCAGTAAACAAACGAGGACATGTACGTACTTTTAAGGACAATAATGTATTGCCATTTAGTTGTAATCATGTCTTTATTGGGTCTTTGTTGTCTTTAAAGTCAAAGCTAATTTTACCGAAAGTAAACAAATAGTTTTTGTATTTATTGTCGCCATACGTCTGACGGATCGGATGTGTACAAATGTGAACATTTTTGTTGAGGGTGTTTCCCGTTTGTGTGTAATTTATTAAATTTTGCGATTCGTTGTAATAAGAAATTCGAAGCAAATTTAATATGATACATCTATGGTGAAACGCTAATTTAATTTTGCTGGTATGCCGTTTATGAAGCATTTAAAATATGGAATGTCCAATTAATTTTATAACATTATCAAGGCTACCAGCTCAGTGATAAATCATATTTATCATCAAGGACCATATGGAACACGATTGATACTTCCATTGTGGCGTTGTAAAGTGTTCAGTGTTTGTTATTCGATCAGTACTACGGAAGTTGAGTGTTTACTTATACCAGGGCTGTTAAAATAGATCATCAGTTTTATTACAAAGAGTAATTTCTAAACTGTTACAGGTATGTAAACCTCAAAATATTTGTTTAACTTTTTTCATTGATTTCAAATGAATTTTAAGGGTGTGTGACATGGTTTCGTATTAGGACAAAAAACAATAGTATATCTTACTACTTTCATCATCCAAACCTCCCAGAGTTTGTGACGTAGAACAAAAGTAAGGGTATGGCTGTGGCTACCCCGCAGAGGTGCATACAAGTACATCGCGTCAGGTTCACCGGTAACACTGCTCAGGTGTAACGAAACCCTCCTAACGTATATATTCTAATTTGCATACCCTGTATAAAGTCAACAGCCGGTGAACGCGGCTGTAATCTTTCGTTCCTCGGCAAGAATGAAGTTTGGTGATATAAGTTATATTCCGTTTTAAAGTAAGTATCGAACTTTATATTTAAAAAAATACATGTAGCACTGGTACTCTGATATGATCTGAGAAATGATGTTTTAGGATAAAATGATCATGACATGAGTAAACAAATAGTTTAGATCTAACGCTAGTTTCATATCGCATAGATTAGAGCCGTTACCATCCATCTTTAGAGTTGAATATGTCTTGAAAATATTGTGTTTTGAGATAAAAGATATCGTCAAAATGGCAACGCCGAAAACTGTTCTATGTATTTCCGTTGTGTGATATAAAGCTAGACGTGTGTGGTGCTCGTTAGTATGTCTGGTGGTTCCGTTGTGTGATATAAAGCTGGACGTGTTTGATGTTCGTTAGTATGTCTGGTGGTTCCGTTGTGTGATATAAAGCTGGACGTGTTTGATGTTCGTTAGTATGTCTAGTGGTTCCGTTGTGTGATATAAAGCTGGACGTGTTTGATGTTCGTTAGTATGTCTGGTGGTTCCGTTGTGTGATATAAAGCTGGACGTGTTTGATGTTCGTTAGTATGTCTGGTGGTTCCGTTATGTGATATAAAGCTGGACGTGTTTGATGTTCGTTAGTATGTCTGGTGGTTCCGTTGTGTGATATAAAGCTGGACGTGTGTGATGCTCGTTAGTATGTCTGGTGGTTACATTGTGTGATATAAAGCTGGACGTGTTTAATGCTCGTTAGTATACGAGTTGGTTCCGTTGTGTGATATGAAGCTGGACGTGTTTGATGTTCGTTAGTATACAAGTTGGTTCCGTTGTGTGATATAAAGCTGGACGTGTTTGATGTTCGTTAGTATACATGTTGGTTCCATTGTGTGATATAAAGCTGGACGTGTTTGATGCTCGTTAGTATTAACATGTTGGTTCCGGTGTGTGATATAAAGCTGGACGTGTTTGATGTTCGTTAGTATACATGTTGGTTCCATTGTGTGATATAAAGCTGAACGTGTGTGATGCTCGTTAGTATGTCTGGTGGCTCCGTTGTGTGATATAAAGCTGGACGTGTTTGATTCTCGTTAGTATACAGACTGGTTCCGTTGTGTGATATAAAGCTGGACGTGTTTGATGTTCGTTAGTGTGTCTGGCGGTTCCGTTGTGTGATATAAAGCTGGACATGTTTGATGTTCGTTGGTATGTCTGGTGGTTCCGATGTGTGATATAAAGCTGGACGTGTGTGATGCTCGTTAGTATACATGTTGGTTCCGTTTTGTGATATAAAGCTGGACGTGTTTGATGCTCGTTAGTATGTCTGGTGGTTCCGTTGTGTGATATAAAGCTGGACGTGTTTGATGCTCATTAGTATACATGTTGGTTCCGTTGTGTGATATAAAGCTGGACGTGTTTGATGTTCGTTAGTATACGTGTTGGTTCCATTGTGTGATATAAAGCTGGACGTGTTTGATGCTCGTTAGTATTAACATGTTGGTTCCGTTGTGTGATATAAAGCTGGACGTGTGTGATGCTCGTTAGTATGTCTGGTGGTTCCGTTGTGTGATATAAAACTGGACGTGTTTGATGTTCGTTAGTATGTCTGGTGGTTCCGTTGTGTGATATAAAGCTGGACGTGTTTGATGTTCGTTAGTATGTCTGGTGGTTCCGTTGTGTGATATAAAACAGGACGTGTTTGATGCTCGTTAGTATGTCTGGTGGTTCCGTTGATAACACTGCTTTCATTTGGCAAAGATTTACATGCTGGGAGTCGTCGAGAAAGCATAAGACACTTACCCTTCCGGAACACCTTATCTTAATCTCGTTGTTCTTTTTCATGAATTTTCTGGTAAATCTTTCTTTTGTTCATGGTTTGCTTTAGTTTCATAGAATTTGTGTTTGAGTTATGATTCCGTTTGCATTTCTATATTTCCTTTGTTTTGGGACGAAAGCCGCGTGGCTCCTTTTATAGTAAATTTTCCAGTAGCCATGCTGTAAAGCGTTGGACTAAAATATACGAGGTCATTGTTGGTGGTCAACCTGTCATCTGGATGTCCTGGCCGTTATTTAATATGTCACATATCTAAGACCGCCTAATAAAATTATCTTATCAAAGATTTATGAAAAGGCATTGATTTAACGCCATTTCAGTTCACTGCCTACAAAAATTGACTACTTAAAGATATTTCTTGATATCTGATATTCGTCTCCGGTAGATTCCGTTCATGGTTTCCGTTACTCTTCTCCGAAAAGTTCCGCCAAACTTACACGACTGTACACCAAACGGCGTTATAACTTATAGACAAGGGCTTTTAGCAACATTATGTTCAAATGCTTGTGTATTAGTATATGTTTTACCTGCAGATTTGAAGAAATATAGCAAATGTTTTGTGAGTACTTTAATTGTTTCTCATTTTTTCTTACTGAAATATGGGAAATGGAACTGAATTAAGGTGATATTTAAATCATATTTATACTTCAAGTGTTATTTACACGTCGTGATACAAGATATATGAGAAATTAAAGTAGAGAGAGAGAGGGGAGAGAGAGAGAGAGAGAGAGAGAGAGAGAGAGAGAGAGAGAGAGAGAGAGAGAGAGAGAGAGAGAGAGAGAGAGAGAGAGAGAGAGAGAGGGGGGGGGGGGGGAGGAGGAGGAAAAAAAACAACAAAAAATCGGAAGGTTTTAAAGGTTAAAATTGTACACTCTTATCTCTTATATTCTTTATTGGCCTTGTCGCATTTGCATGCCCACTGTTTAAATCAAGTTATCTGTTGAATGTACCCAGATGAATGTTTACATTGTCTGAACTACAAACAAAAACACGAGAATTTGTTTCCTGAGTGTAGTCATATTAAAATAGTAAGTAAACAGTCATGAACATGTCATTGTTTGTTATGATGAACTTTGCCTCGTTAAAAATACACATGATTCTCGAAAATATAATAATTACGTTTTTATAGATAGTCGACAGGGTTAGAAGTTCAGCATCAAGCCAGAATTGGATGCTTTCAAAAACCTTTTGTTTATAAAGTTCTAAAACTATGGCGATCATGGTAAGAAATAAATAAACTTTCTATTTCCAAAAAATCATATTCAAATGAAAAAAAGTTTTATGATGAGAATGTTTATTTACTAACTTTGGTTGTTAGTAAGTTGTGACCCTATTTTTGTGATAAGTATCTTGTGGTAATTTCTAGGATACGAATTTTCTAATTCATATTATCATAATCCGTTTTGAAATCTGGATATGAATTATATCAGAATCACTTTCGTGTACTTTATCTAACCAGACGAAACGGTTATCATTTTAAAAATATATTTTGCATTTCATATGAGGAGACAGATACTTCGTTATGTCAATAGGTAATGTAGTAAGGTGAATTTAAAAGCCACACCCTTTATAACACAATGTCAACATTTATTAGCATTTCAACAGCGTTTCACACTTCACACTTTTATTACATTTACAATATCCCACAAACCTATGGAATAAATTCATCTTAAATTGAACTCAATCTACAGCTCTGCGAATATATACAAAGACACATTTACACGCATGATTAACTTCGTCTGTATTTCTTCACTCTCACGCGTGAAACCTGCTGCTTCATGGTACATACATGTATGTGGCAATTTCTATAACGATAGATATCGAGAGTATGATATGATGACACACATCAAAGTACTGTCCACTGTATGAATGAATAGCATAGCGCTGCGCTATACCAATTTCCTGTCACAATTATTTCCTCTGTCTTTGGACAGCAAACGATTCTAAACTGATATGTAACGGCATATATCCAGGGAAATAGTAATTTTTAGATGCAAAAGCTGATGTGACAAAGCTTCAATACAAATTTCTTTTACTGTCTTTTAACCCTTTTCAATATTTTTATCGCACACTTTGAAAAGCACTAAAGATGGCAGACTTTCGCGTTGTCAGTGTCAATATGATCACATTACATTTAAATGAAATACATTCTTTTAACTAAATTTTACTGAGATGAAAACCAATTATAAAATAATCGACTGTATGTGAATTCATTATCTATTGAATGCTATAGAATTGGGCTAAGAATTCTTCGAGCCAATAAAAAGCCATTAATTAAGGTAACCTGATCCGTGAGTTTGTTTGTTAACGCCTATGTCAATAGTCTGTATTTATCTCATAGATTAGACTGAGATGTAAATATTTAAATTGATGGAACGTATATATCAGAATATTACCTACTCATCAGGTGTAATCTGTCTTATCCTCTACCCCTGATATGGAAATGATTCTATTGATAACTCTAATGTCTTTAATCAACTTTTACCTTAAGGAGCAATTTGAAATACAGTAAGTTTTTATGACATGGATAACATTGTTGAAATCTATCGCTCGATTTCTTTTTCAATAATGTTGTGCTCATCTACGTCCATACCGATATGAACGTTGGAACCTGTTCAATACGAATACACAGACTTTTATTTTGAAATCACTAGTAAAATAATATATGTATTCCTTAATATTTCATGTATTGGGAGTTTTAATTTCACCAGTTCCAATATGTTTTTGAGAATTTTTGTTGCTTCTTTAAATAATCTATCATTGAACGGTTTGGGATGAACAGAGCTAAAATAATGTTCCAAATACGTTCACAATGTTATGAATGTAATAGATACATGCATCGACAAAATAATCTGAAGTTTAATTGATGATCAATTAAATACAGATCATTTTCTCAAAATTATAAATTTATACATTAAAACTTTGTTTCATATTTCTATAAGATTCTCGTCAAAATATTGGTATCTTCCTTGTCCATTAAGACAGTAAACATACGACGTCGTGCTCATTAACGATAAAGGACGCAAAAAGGCGAACCATAGTATGAATGTTTACATAGTTTGATATGTATGAGTCCTCTAATCCCTCAATGATTCTTTTCATATGCGGAGAAATGTTGAATTAAAGCAAATTACAGAACAACTAGGTACAGTGCAAGACGTTTTGCACAAACCAAATGCAAGTTTGATTACAACATGTCGAGTCTTGTATTTTTGTCCTTACAGTATTGTCCGCTTATATTACGGGTTTAATTCACTTTCAATACAAAAAGTTGTGTTAAACAAGAAATTCCTCTTATTGATTTCTCTTTAAAGAAAATATTTTATTGCATCTAACGATTTTGATTGTTTTAATTTATTCATAGTTATAAACAAGTTTGAAATTTGGAAATTGTGAGTTAAGCTAACAATTTTTCACACTGTTGACTTTCTCTCGGATAGAGAAGTCTCTTGTGGTGTTACATTGATTTCTTCTGTTATCATTATTAATACTAAATTGACAGCTTTATTTGTTATTATAAGAGTCAGACTGGATGAATGGTCATATCTTCGAGGCTGAGCGATCTCCTTGGATTGTTTCCTTGGACCGATCGTTTGTATTACGTGTCAGCATAGGTAAAGAAGATACCAGTGTATTCGCCACATCAGGTGTAGAAAACAGCAGATATCAGAAGTATTGATCGCGTCAAAAGCATGTATATATACATAAAATGGCCCTGATGAATAGATAAAGTGTTATGTAGGGAACGGATGTTAGCGACAGGATAAATTTATATTGCTGGTGATTATCCTAGGCGTATTTTCCAAATAGGAATCAATGTTTCCGCGTAACAATCTTGCATATGATTATTCTTCAAATTTCCTCTTTTCATTACTCATTACAAAAGTGTCTCGATAACAAAAAACATCAAGAAATACCAACATGTCAGCATAATCAAAATCCAAATTCAAATTACTTAAATCTAGGGCAAAATATAAATAAAAGAAAGACCTACATGTAGACTCATGAAAACGTGCAAGGAGAATAAGACCAGGTGTTCAGTAATAATAAGCATCAATTGCTTCATCGACGACACCCGCTTTGTAAACATTGGTTTATCTAAGTAAGTAATGTTACGTTCTCAAATGAGAACAAGGTATACAACAACGGAACCAACAGGCAAACTAACGGATATCAAACACGACCAACTTCATATCGTACAAAAATAGAAGGATATACAATGGTATCACTATGGCGACCATGAAACTTTCCCATACAAAGGTAGAAGTGACAGAACACCCGTCACACCATACTCAACGATTACCTCCCCATTGTAAACACTAATAAAAGAACCCAATGGACATTGTTTTCAAAAACTGTCTTTCGACATTACATAATCTCACCTCAACGACTGCATTTTCTCCTTTCTAAACTTCATGTTGTTTTCAAAGTAGCAAAGAATATATTTGTCACAAAAACAAAGATATTATTATTGCACGATGTTTATTGGCAGTATATACATACAGTTTATAAACAAACAAATCCGAGAATAAGTTTTCCTGGTTCGATTAAACAAATACGTTCGTGGACTTCTAACCTGTTTTATTTGAAAATGTGCCAATATTGATCAAGAAATACATGTCAAATAGATTGAATAAAAAATTCAATAAATACTTTCAAAATAATTCAAAGAGAAATCTTTGTAAGGCATGTTGACCAGATAGATACAAGGGCCTCTATCGTGCCTATCGTACAGTGTTTACAATGTACTGTACAATCCTAGTGTTTGTTTACAAACTCAAAATCAATTAATGCTGGCAGCGATTGGATATGTTAACACTACACGGTGTGTTGTATACGTAACAACAAACAAAAATAGATCTGACATTTTCCTTTACTAATTACGAACACATTGCCAGTATTGAAGCTATAGGTAGAAACACAATAATAACAAATGTCTGTTTCATGTAACAATTTCATAATTAAACGTTTCTGTCGAGGTGATGATTACAACGGTCATTCAATCGTATACCAATTACGAGGTATGCGTTATCGTAGCATTGTATCATCTACACACGTGGGAATGACACACACAATGCTTTCCCTATTAAAACATCTAGCAATATCTCTTCTGGTGCATGTTATTCAACTTTCAAGAGATTCTCTGAAAGATTATGTATTCAATGTGGTCGATGATTTTTCCTTTTCAGCTTCACAGCAGTACGGATGGTTGAAGTATACTTCATGTTGTCCTGTATAGAATAAATTTTATGGCTCTACTCTTATAAACATTCTAGTTCAAATTTGAATCAATGAAAACAAATTTTCCTGACTGTTTTCTAATATAGACAGTGAGAGGACAGCTGATATTTTCTGTTTTGTGTTGGAAGCAAATTCAGCTACTTAAAGAATTTTTAAAAACATAATTCAAGCCAACATGATGACTTTCATTGGGGTTACAAAATAACTCTTGTGTTTTCAAGCCTACAAGAAAGCATTTGTTTAAACATAGATTTTTAACAATCCTTTAAAAGAATGCTTATCCTTAGGCAATAACTCGATTTAGTAAAGAAGTTACTTCTGTGCTAATTTCAATGTCCCAACTTGTACGTTTATTTTTTATGTTATGTTTTGTTGTTCAGCACATATACAATCTTTCAAATCATTAAAGAAAAACTTAAATTGGTAATCTAGATTACAGATTGCAGATTATTTTCTCAAAATTACAAATTCACACCTAGAAATTTTGTTCGAAAATGTTTTGTCAAAATATTGGTATCTTCCATATCAAACAGGACAGTAAGTAAATTAATATTTGCCCACATTTCCTTAACTGCATCGTTTCTCCATTGTGCAACAAATGTCTCAAATGACATCATATTCAATTTAGGTAAATTATTAATTATTGTTTTAGTGTACCGGACAACATCCTGTAAACGATATCTTGTCATTCATAAAAATATTGATTTATGCACTAACCGTAATCGATATCTTGCAGTTTGACCTTGGGATGTGTTTTATATCGGTGGTCTTTTTTTCATTCGTCAGGTTTTGCGGATGAAGAAACCATTCGTGTGTGGTGCAAAGGCTATGTATCACACGGTATCATAACGACCAGTAGTAAATCCGTTTACATCCGACTCACAACAACTTCCGATGACGTCACAGGACTTATATTTATGCTGAAGTTTTGGTCTACTATGAGTAAGTAAAATCAATTTTTGCTTTTTTTGTGATTAACTAATTTATAAAAAATATTCATTCCGATTTGAATTTTTTTTCCATATGAGAGGCAGAAATATGAGACTTGAGTCAAATAATACATAAATATTTCCAGAATGTAAGCGTGTAATATTGGATTTGAAGCAAACAGTTTTAAATCATCAATGCCCCCTGGAGCAAGAAAAACGTTAAATAAGTAATAGATGTGTATGTAAACTAATTGAATAGTATATAAATATATACCAGTACTTGGAACCATTACAATCCCTTGTAATTACAATCTATATATGGATATCATGTAAACATTAACAGTGGAAAATATATGTATACAAACAAAACAATGCTTATCTATACTCTATATTTTATTAAGGCTTAAGCTGATAGTGTTTGTTCAGTTAAAATATTGTTGGTGAGAAAATTGACTAATAAAAAACTGTGTGTATTGATAGCATTGCAATGACAATGGCAACTAATAAAAAGCCGATGGGGAAGCTTGTATTATCCTTTCGAATCCGCTAGTCTGTTAGGCATATTCTTGTCACACCTGTGACTGTGACCTTCAAAGAATGTCGTCCTCAAAGTTAGCACCAACAATTACTGCAATTAAAAAAAAATCATCTGTTTAATTATTGTGCTCGTGGCCTTCAAGGCTGATCAAAAGCATACGTTACAAACTGTTAAACGGAAAATATAATGACGATGTATGTCATTTTTTTTTAGTTTTGATGGTGTCAGCTTAAAAGGTACAATTTTATGACGAGTTTGACTCTATTAACTGATGACTAACAGCTGACATGTAAGCCCTTCAACTCGGTATGCAAATTGCAAAAAGCCATATAATTTACTTGTGTGTGATTCATTGAGACTGTCAATGCTTTTGACTTCTGTTGTATTGAAAGTGGGTTAAAGCATTTCAATATGCTTTATAACCCCACATTAATGAAATAAAACATACATTATACGCCTCTCGTCCCTATCCAGATGTTGCATATTTGAAACAACTCTTTAGTTCCTTTTGATTTTTAAGGCCAAAATCATTTCTGTTGTCAAAATCGATGGTCTATTATTCAAGTATGCTATACATGGAATGTCATTCAAAAATTCGATCAAGTTTGCTATTAGAATAAAAATGTTAAGGTTATACAGATTTGAAAAAGCTTGATTGTCTTTGACATCAGAAAATATAATGGCAATCTATATAATACAAATATATCGGATGCTAGAAAGAATTCTATTAAAGACCAATTGACGGTAGGCGATCGGTCAAGTCTTACATCAGTTAACGCTGACCATCTCTTGTAGACTTTTCCCATAGTTATTTTTATTAAAAAGATATGTTTCAAATAGACAGGAATTGTCCATATAATGATACTTCAGATATATAAAGACGTAAAATGTGTTAATATCATCCGTAGTTTTCTGCCTGACTGATTCACTTATTTCCTTGACGTCACACTTCCGGTCAGTTATATTTCACTTACATTCTGATTTTCTTACAGGTCAAACTGTCTCTGGACCAGTACGTCTCGGACCTGCCAATTATTTCCTCATATCCGTTAGTATCCTTGTTGGTACTGCTCTCTTAGTTGGGGTCATGTACCTCTTTTATAGGGAGTACACTACCATCAAGGAGAGGAAAGAGCAAACGTTTAAGAAGAAGCTTCGTGTTAGGAGACAGGGAATTAGTGGAGCTAGTGGTATAGTTAACACACAGTTCGAAATGGAGGACACAAGTAGTGAAAAAGAAACGACTTTATCCTACCTAACAGTCTCGCCAAGTCCAGATTGTAGTGTGTGATCATTGCTCATAACGTTTCTCAAATGAACTGGATACTTATCATTAAAATCCTATTGATGCCCATCAGAGGAATACAAGATCCGTTCCTATATCAAACGATTTAATGATAGATTTCACCTCTTGCCACGTTACAAGAACACTTTATAGTGTTAAAACAACACAAATATTGGGAAACACCAGTATAAATAAGATATGAAGTGTTTAACCCATAATTCTTTCGGAGCGTAAAAAGCTAAATGGGTTCTTCTAAAGATTTCTGCGAGATTACACAAAACTGAAAAAAACCACCAGGAAACATACTGATCGCTTGAAGCTTCAATATCTATCTGAAAGGATAATCATGTATTGACACCCAAAAAGTCTTACGTTTCGACTGGTGTTTTGCATGTTTTGTTTTTCAATATATCGAAAATTTGGATCTAGTCATGGTGGATAAAATGGAAGAATACATCAAAATATGTGTTCCAATATCTATGGCAAATATGGCAAAACTTTATTGCTTTGACAGGAACCTAACAAACACTATGGAGGATAGTACAGCGGTCTCCGTATCGAGAAAACTACCCCATACTAACCTGTTTTAAACGAGTGTCACAACAATATGTATATCATATTTCATGCACATTATTAATGCTGTCACACGCGATATTATCATCTAGCACTGGCGCTATTGTTGTTTGTTTGCCTTGGTAATCACATATACCCAATATGTATCTTATATGATGATTCTAATGGAAAAACATCACTGTGCTGATTCCCATTAATTATCTACACGTAAGGTGAATATCTGAATTATGCCGCTCTCTGATATAATTATTAATGATCAGTAATGGTTTTTTTTTCTAATCAGAAAATGGAAATGCAAAGTCCACGACATGGTCAAAAGTGCTTTGCTGGTTTTTTTATTTTGATATATTAATAGCCAATGCTTATCCCGAACGAATGTATTGATTATTTGACCAACATGCTGACTAAAGACTACCAATACATAATTTGTTCTTCTCTATGATAATGATAAAACAGAAATTGATTTGTAATAAGTTTCTATGCAATTAAATACGATTGTGATGAAAGTCATTGTATATTTTCCTATGATTTAAGAATATGTATCTATCTTATTGATTTTCAGTTTTGGGGTGGGGGTCCTACCCCTCTGGTATTTGACCTTCATTTATACCAATTAAGAATTTACTTCAGTTGTCTCCTATGTTTCAAAAACATAGACTTTCACATCATTGACAAGTTTTAGAAAGACAAATAGCGGTAAATTACGACTCAATTCGTTATTTGGCTATAATCTAATAAGAAATTTGTGTTGAAAGGTATAACTAACTTATGCATTGTGTAAGATCATTGAACAATTAATGAATTTTGGATCAGTGATGTAACATTTATTCATGAAGCGCTGTGGTGCTTGAAAAAGACTTTCTAAGCAATCCCATACATCACTTCATATTGGTATTCTCAACATGACAACAAAGCCTATATTTGGGGATGAAAGAACTTTCGGCTATACTATTTAATATTGTCATGGTGCTCTAACAATGTGATTTTTTACGTAATTGAACGTTTTATCATTAATATCCGAGCCCTATGTGTTCTGTCTGTACCTTTTATCTTCCTTTGTGTATGAATAATGACATTAAATCAGTAATCAAATGGGATATTTATAGGATAATCAATATCCTCTTAATAGATCTAATATATTTCATCCACCTTATAATTCCTTTTATCATATAAATGCTTCGTTATTAGTGTAATAGCACCTGTTAAGTGTAATGATACCATTTGTGATTTGCTAAAGGCTCTCGTCAGTTGTCACGTCAGCATTATTTGCGTTGCGTTAGGTGTATTATGACTTCACCAAAGCAAAGTGAAAATATTGCAAATGTAGATTTTGAAAATTAGAAAGTTATTTGATAAATATAATAAACCATTCGTTCCCTTTTCATAAGTTGGAGATCATTATTGATCTCAATGCCTTTGGTAGGCTTACTTTTCTGACGATCCAGCGAGCTAGATATAAAGAAGTTCTCAATAGCCGAATGGTTTTTTGCAGATATAATTTTATCGGGGTTATATAAGAAACTTTTTGTTGCATAAGTATCATATGGAATGAAAACTGATTCAAGGTCTACCTATTGAATGATATCTCAGGGTTAGAGCACAAAATATCCAAAATTTTACAAATTCGTTACGACAAAAAAATGAAAAAAATGTTAGTATTGTTTTATGCAAGTGTTCCTATTATTGATTTTGATGAATGAATAACAATTAAGATTCACATCAAAGCTGAGATAAATGTAGACGAAGGTAATTGATCAGGTCTATACATTATAAAACTGGATCTGAACAGAGCCTTCAGTTGGACAAGCTCATCAGTCAATATTAATGACGATCGATCAATAGCAACACAAACCAATTTCCCTGTATCTATGGTATCATTTGCTAGGTCATGTTTACAAACATTTCGATCTATTTAAGGTCAAGGTCATGAAAGCCGTTACATAAAGTATGAAGAATTATCATGAACATTTAAATGACGACCATTTTTTAATCGATTTATCCTAAGGACAGTGTCTTGCTTCAATAACAATTCGAATCATCGGAGAATATACAACAGTGTGCAACAGAAGACGTCAGAACATGATTTCAATGCAGGAGGTTGCTGCACTTTCAAAGAACACTGATTGTACTTCCGGTAATTAGTTGAGAAGCATTGTCTCCCTTTCAGCGTTAGTATTCCCAAACATCCTGTTATTGTAACAAATATGGGTTTTGGTTTTGTTACAGGAAAAAGGTAATGTAGTATGTTTCGTTTTCCTTTGCTGCTGGTGGGTGATTCTATACCGACCTATTCTTACCATTGTTTCTTGACGTATCAGTAGTATGATCGTATCGAACACGATGGATATTTGATAATCTGCCATGTTATTAATTAATTAGGTATGAGTAAACTACATTTTGATCAAAATATCTCTGAACTATCCATTGGAAATTATCAAAAAAGCTGGCTTCATCAGATGTTCATTAGATAATAAGCTAGCAAAATGACGGTATCAGACCATCGGATTAAAGTCTAGAGTTTACTGAATGTTTTCTTACGACCAATGAGACATGCTCTTTCATATGTGCTTAAATCTTGCATCGATGGAATGTTAATATCATTTCAATGACATTTGTCACTGCAGAACTATTTTGCCTTGTTATATTTTGTTTATTTTGATAATTCATATTACATTTTCCTCGTTTGTTCTTGACACTTATCCATTTTAGGGGAATTTTCATCACGAAGTCGTAGAAGAGAAGCAATTATAAATCAAATCATAATCTAAAAAGGGATGATCACAATGTTAAAAATACGTCACAAACGTAATGACGTCTTAATATCACAAAGGGCGACAATAAAACTATATGAAAAGGTAAATGTTATACAAATTAATTTTATTGTTGACTAAACAATGCATACAGTTTGTCTAAGGTTTACAGTCTTTCAGATTGATACACAGGGATATCCCATATTTTAGCCTTGCTTGCGTTGTAAAATAATGATTTTGTTTTTGAATGGTCTTAAAAGAAAACAGCATCTGAGGTTTCTTGATTAAATCCGGGGAAAAATGTTTTTTGTTGTCATAAGCGACAATGTCGCTAGTTTTAAATTCAAGCTTCGGAACGTTTGAATTTCATTTTAAGTAAAATGGAAATGTTTAGCCTGATAGCATATCATAGGATTACACAATACACATATTTTCAGGGGTCAAATTTTGTAGCTTCACCGTCCACTTCCGCTTGCCGCGTCGGCTCTGGAGTTTCACCCCCTACTTCACTGTACACCGGTAAACTTACTTGATCCGGATCTTTCTCTACTTCGTGCAGATTTTTAAGTTCCGGTTCTAGTTCTTGATTTCTATCATTGACTTCTGGATCAGGTTCGGTTTCTTGAACACCCTGATCATCCTCATTGATTTCCATATAATCGTCAGTCACCCCCGGGGTTGTTGGAGCTAACGTGATCCTCTCAGCGTCTATTCCGGGGGTTGTGGCACACAAAGTGATACCGCCATCATCGTCCTGTATAGGAGACGGACCGAAGCGACAAATCGCCATTTCACTGACCGTTGGATACGGCGAGTTCGTTGCAAACATTCCGTCTCTGCTAAACGCAGAATTGACTCTGTCGAACGTGTTCATTGGTGGAGATTTAACTGGCTCCACTGCTGGCGTGACGTGTTTAACTTTCCATTTCTTGTAGCATCCGACGACTATAGCAGCGACGATAACTGTCATTATGATTAAAGTTACCAGAACGATGGCGACGATTGATCCAGCACTTATTACAGAGTCAGTCGACGATGTCGTCGGAACTAATCGGGGGAAAAAGAGATTTTTTTTAAAATAAAGAACAAACTATAAACAAAATAAATAAAAATGCATATATTATTATCCAATTATAGTGAGAAAGGAGGCAAAAGGAGAATGTATATATCTAATAATTATTCAAAATACTCAACATCAAAATTCAATTGATTTTATCTTTGAACAATTTTATTAAATCCAAAATATGTATGTGAAGGGTTTTATTTTCGACTAATGAGAATTAAAAAAATAATTTAACAATCATAATACATTTTTTCCACCAAAGTTAAAAAAAATAATAGATTGATTTTCTGTTTAATTTCTCTTATGAAATAAAAGCACTTAACATGAAGTACTTACCGCAGGTTTCTGTAATAAACAGAAAGTACATAAAAATAAAAACACGTTTACATCACAATGATATATTGTTATCACATGGTCAATCATCATGGGAAGTGATTCGTCACAGAATATTTGCTTTAGCAGGTTTGTATCAAGATCAAGAAGTCTGTGCATGTACGGAGTATTCGTATTACGATAATGAAATATTTAGTTTGGCGTGAAATGTAAAAAAATGACATGACATTACTATACTTATTGTATAACAATAAAGGCAAGTTATTTTTGCGCTCACGTCAACAAATCATGCGTATTTACGTCACAGATTTATGAGTGCTTACCACTAGAGATGAGTTCTAGCGAAGCGCCCGGAGAGACGACGCTGATAGAAGTTTGTGAGTAGTGACAACCTTGAGGAAACTGTGTCATAGAGACACGCGAATCATTGGCTGACAAAGACGCTGCCTGTATAGTTAAATAAAACAACACATAAAGCGATCATGCAGAAACGTTATTTTTTTTACCTCTAATAAAGCCCGGAAGAATATAGACAAAACAATATACATTGTAGATGTGTTAGTTGATAAAAATGCATATATACGATTTTTTTTAAATACCAAAACAAAATCATGTGTGGCTGAAACAAGGAAACATATAAATAACACCATTTGATACAAATTAATAATAGAATACAGTATATGCCAAATAATACATTTAAATAAATCTTGCAGCTTTTGCGTCCTTTATGATAATGAATAATTCATTAGTGGGATTGATGCAATGTTGATTCCAACGATTTAGGCCCTTTATATCACTGATGAGTCTGACAAGCCGACAACTGCATAACGAAGTTTAATTCATTATTTCAATATTTTATATCTTATTCTATATTTGTTTTGGGAAATGATATCCGCGTATTGTGTATTTTGTTCAACATTGTCAGGATTCGTCAAAGATTCGAAGGGCCAAAATCAATAAAGCTAATTAGAATAATGGAAAGTCAGAAAAAAAAATAAATAAAAACTGTCTCGACCATCAAGGCGTTACGATGCTATAGTTTCATTTTTATTACAAACTTGAAAATCTTTCATATGATCCTTATCACTTAATACCTTTCATTTGATTTTAAGTATATAGCGAAACAAAGTAAAAGCAGTGACGAGAAACAAGATTTAATGCTTTCAAGAAGTCATCTTATAACTGAAATCAAAAGCTAACAAATGATTATTTAGAAATTAGAAGTAACCAGTTTTGTGCTGAAAATTTACTGATATTAACATTGACAAATTTAAAACGATTTTAAATCTAATTCTGTATTTCCTAAAAAAGAAAATTAATGAAAGCCTACTCTTATAACTGAAAACAGCAATTATTGCAAATCGATTGTACAAACTGGATAGAAGTGTATTTTCATAAAGGGCAGATAACTCTGATTTTTGTTCCGTTTCTCTGTATATTTATCAAATCTCTTCAAACAATTATATCAATTAGTCTTGTACTGCTGATTCTTGAAGTCACCAGTTTTATGAATCTATATCTAATTAATATAAATTGAAAAAAGGTAATAAATAAAAAATTATAACAAGTGTATATACGGTAACTCCCTAGGTTTTATTCTATGAATTTTAACAGCAAAGTGCTGAACGAACATTGACTCTTTGTTTTGTTTTTTTACTTGTACTTGTCTTCAAAAAGGAAAATCGCCTTGAGTAGACAGTAAAGAAAATTATTAGGATTTAATAATATAAACCTGTCATTCAGAACTCTATTTACTTACATAGCACGTGAATCTATAATAAGTACTTTCATCGGGGTCAGTAGTATCTGTGTTCATGGCAAGAAAGTATACTTCATCACCGGACTCCTCAGAATATACACACGTCAGCTTACCATCCTCTGTTATATAATAAAATAAAACGTGTTTTATTTCCATTATGCCGACAATACTTTATGATAATGCATCCGTCATTATCAACACCTTTTTATGGCGGTGCCTTCTGTATTCTAGTATCTTTAAATTACAAATACAAAGTACGAAATACACCAGCGAAAATTTCACAAGCCTAACATCAGATTTTCATCATGTTTGAATATCATTTTCAATTACGCTTTAGATATCAATTCAACATTCTCTCTTTTAAAAAGACACAGGAAATAATTATATCACGCATTTTTCATTTCTCTACAGCTTCAACAATAATACCATGACAAAATCAATATCTTGGTTAACTTCCTTTTCCTTATAGTATCATACTAGATTCCTTTGTTTATCAAGTGCACATAGCATGGCTGAGAATATTCAGAGCGTGAGAATACTCTGGAAAGAAAATGATGAAGGACCGACTGATGGAGTGGCGCTCGAGCAAAATCATTGTTTCAGTCGTCATTATTTCACAACATTTGATATATCATTTTTGCTCACGTGAATATCCCTGTTTTTCTGCACATGCGCTGTAATTGTAAGACATTTCAGCATTGTCACTGCACACTTCCAGTTCCGTCGAGCCAGTACAAAGGTTTCCGGATCCAGTATCATAAGTGTAGTTAAATATCCCGAGTAGAGAATCCGGACAGTTGATTTTTGCATTGGCGATACTTCCTGTTGGTGAAAAAAATGAAAACATTGACGGACGATTCCAAAACAGTACCGTCACTATCAGATGATATTTGAACGAAGCGGTTCAGTTCCTTGATACTATGAACATATTCAGTATACTTTGGAAATTGTTTTTAGTAGTTTTCCAGAACTGTTTTAATGATAAAGCCGTTAAAACAAACACACTGTGACAGCTATGTAAATATCTACACATATTTTTTTTGTTTACCCAAGTACCTGTATACTCACCATTCTTAACAAACGCCGCCATTTGTCTGACGTCACGACTTGCTGAAAAGTCACAATCATTGCTGATGGAAAAAGAATACCCGCTTACTTTAAGGACAAGTCTGTCGTTTGTAGTATTTGCTAATACAGCTGGCAAAACAGTAAAGAAAAGTATGTTAAAACATTTTAACAGATTAACACATCTAACTGCAAAAGGTAAAACCTAGTTAAAACGTGACAATATCTTCATTAAATGACTCTTCAACGTTTGATATCTATTTTAATCAATTGATATTTATAAACAAATTTCCAAGTATCAAGTATTATTTAATTAAGATGCTGATAACCGATATCATTAACGGATTCCTGTTAATAAGTAAAACTTTTATTTCTGAGTTCTTCAACAACATTTTCATTAATGATAAAATGTAGCACCTTAAGCTGTGAAATGAACACTTTTTTCATATGCTCTCTGGGATAATAACGAAGGGAAATGGTGTATTACATACGTAGAGCTGTGTAGTAGACAACTTTATCTGAAGACTGAGAAAACATATCGAGACACAGGGCGAGCTGTAGTGACACACCCAGATAGGGGAAGCTGTTGGATCTGGAAAAAATGGTATAGTATACTATATAATGGTTTTTTGAAAGGATTCCAAGGAATCCTTATGAACGTCCTTGCATGAAATAAAGTTTTGAATCATTGATATTTTTATAAGTAGTTTCATGTAAAAGAAGTCTTCTCATTTGTTTAGTTTCGTTTCATACTCCTGCAACAGTTTATTATTTTTCTTCCGTTTTTTTACACAGTTCAAATATCACTGGTTTTCTGGCCATAGATAAAAGTAAATAGGTTGCGTATGAATATCGTTTACATCTGATCCGCTTTACACATGTCTATCAACATTTTATTTCGCAACCAAATATAGCTTCTACATAAACTTGGTTCATTGTCTGATTATTTTATTTGAAGATAGATATTGTACTTTCACCCCAATAATACGCCAATCTTTGCTGTATATATAATAATATCAATAGTTTTCAACGAGCAATAAATTCGATCTTTAAGGGAAATCTATAGTAAGATTAGAACGACTCCCCATCATCTAAAATTCATTCAAAGGTATGAATATACATTGTTACTTACACCGCGAGGTAGTAGTTGTTTGAATTCTCTGTGCACGTAAAGGTTTGTACACCAAATGTGGAGACACTATATTTAGTGGTGAAGGCACTGGAAGTAAAGGTAACTTCTCCGAAATCACTGGAATACCATACTCCATTGAGGTCGCTTGGGTAGGAACAGGTCGCTTCTGTAATTTAAAATACGATTACAAAAGCTTATAAAAAAATTGTATTTTGATAAACTGTATATTCTCAATCACTGAAAAAAGCATTATATCAAATCCTGATAGACTGAAAAGTACAAAAGACACACAAGTGAATAGTTCCGCTCATTACAAATTAAGAATAATAAACAGTAAAGCGAGATAATGAATTCTTGTCATACAGCTGTTCCGTCCTTCTAGGGTTCGTCAGTGATGTTGCATCATACAGCAGTTTCTTCCTTCAAGGGTTCGTCAGTGATACTGCATCATACAGTTGTTTCGTCCTTCTAGGACTTGTCAGTGATGCTACATCATACAGCAATTTCTTCCTTCTAGGGTTCGTCAGTGATACTGCATCATACAGTTGTTTCGTCCTTCTAGGACTTGTCAATGATGCTACATCATACAGCTGTTCCGTCCTTCTAGGGTTCGTCAGTGATGTTGCATCATACAGCAGTTTCTTCCTTCAAGGGTTCGTCAATGATACTGCATCATACAGTTGTTTCGTCCTTCTAGGACTTGTCAGTGATGCTACATCATACAGCAGTTTCTTCCTTCAAGGGTTCGTCAGTAATACTGCATCATACAGCTGTTTCGTCCTTCTAGGACTTGTCAATGATGCTAAGGGCCAAATTTTGAAACTTAGGAGGCGACCGAAGCAAGCAAAGATCGATGAAAAAAATGCCGATCTAGATGGGAAGTACACTAGCCCCATGATTAATCAAACTTTTGATTTTTATATATCTGGTAATTTTGATAGAGGTAAATGTGTTATCTGAATGGTGTTTATATTCAAATTAATGAAAACGGATCATACAGGTTACGGCAAACCTCGGGGATTGAAGTAAGTTAGATATGGGAAGCCAACTTTCTAACCAAGATTCTGAAGTTGAAATGATCTACAACTTCCATCTGGGTGTCAGAATGGTCATTTTAAAAAATCATCTGACCTTTTAAGTGTATTTTACTGGAAGGGATATAACCATGTGTGGAGGAGATGGACATTTTTGACTTGAGGTGTTTTGCATATTTAGTATATAGAATCGTGCCTTTCCAGGAGTTAAAACTTTAAAAAAAAGTATTATTTCAAGGATCATGATGGAATTGACACATCTAATGCCCACATAATCGACATATACACATTCAATAATAAACAAATCATTATTTTTTCATAATAACAAGACAGATACAGCTGAGACCACATTCAAAGTGTATTCATCCAATTCTTTCTGTAAATTCAAAAGTCCTTGAAAGCAAAAATCAGCAATATGATCGTAGCCGATAGAAACATTTTAAGACATCCGGAGTGATTGATATAAAAAAAACCCCACAAAATCTAATACATTATCGTCAAAATCGTCGTAAAATCAATTTCAAGACAATTAACACAAGATTACAATAAAGATGATGTCATCTCGTTGTCTTCCATATTAAAAGGAAATATCAATTTTGATTGATATTAGTGATACATTCATAGGGCAAAGTAATGTTGATATTATTTTACAACATTATTTTAAGTGATACATTAAAACTTCATTGATAAATACTAACAATGATAATTTCCATAAATATATATGAGTTACCGGGTATTTATTCTATTATATTTCACGTAAGATAATACAAAATGTCTGCAAGTTTAAATTCATAATCCATTTCAATTGAAATCGAACCAAATAATTTAAATAACAAAAGCAATTAAAAGTAATTATAGAAATTTACCTGTGAAAGGGAGACACACTAAGGTCAAGACAAGGATGATCCCTGCTGACCGACACAGTCGGCTTAGCTCCCTTGGGGCCGACATGGCTGTAGCATATTTCAACTCCCCATCACATTACGTCACTGAGTTTCGCAGTACTAGATGATAACGTATTCGGAGATACCGTGCTTGACATAGGAGCAATGAAGGGAAAACTCGGTACTGGCTGTGACTATGGAGATTGGGATTAGCTTCCTGCTAACACGTCGTAGACAGGGGCCACTCAAGGGGTTTTCTTTTTCTTTTTTATTCAAAAGAGCTCAAGTGAATTTTCACAACTTAAGTCACAAGTGAAATGTAAAATAAAGATACACCAGATATTGAAATTATTCTATGATTTTTCAAATCTATTTTAACGAAGACAGTTATTCTTTTCAGTTTGGAAAAATATTGATGTATACATCGCAGTAGAACAAGATTAATAAACGGAAATACTAATCCGATAAGCTTAATCTTCTCGTACTGTTATATCTCTTCCTTAATTACCATGACCAGGTATACGAAATAGGTACATTTGTGAATACGCCCAGATCTGTACAGTCAAATATTTAGTAAGATTTAATGAGTATCATATATCTTACAAAAAGTACTAAGAATAATTGAAAGAATTACATCAATAAATGAATAAAAGTTGTGAAGAATTGGTATTTCATCAGAGCATTTATTTATTTTTTGTATTTCGAAATAAAACTTATAATTCCATATCTGTTGCTAAAATTAATCTTCTTTGGAACATCTTTTGGTATCTAAATATCACACATATGATACGAATTTTTCAATAATAATGAAATCAATGCAAGAGATATTTAATGCATCCGAAGTTAACAGTGCGGTGATTATCTCCCTTTTCTCAATTGCGCATATAATCGAGAACTGATTGAACAACTAGAATATTTCATCTAACAGTCAATTTTCGGCGTATTGTCCTGAATTTTCCCTTAGATTTAATTGGATTACCTCATGAAATATATGAAAATAAAAATACTCTCTTGAAATACATTTCTAGTGTTAATCATTAAATCATCATTTCTCATTATCTAGCTGCTGTGTCATTGTTTGGGCAGATGATATATCTTTGACCATACACAGTTGCATAATCAATAGAGTTTTAAAAAAATATCTGATATAGATCAAATAGGCTTACAAATATTGCTAAATAATATGACATAACTCAAGCAGAATACAACAAAATCAAATGAGTTAATAGTGCTAACACTTTATATAATTCCAAAGGGGTATTGAATTGATAATTCACAGCGCAGATATATTGATTCTGTATTGTTAGAGTTTGACCACTCCGATAGGTTAAAATGGTAGAAATCAAACCCGTTGTAAATTACCACCACGCTGGGATTTAGGTATTAGTGACCTGTAATCCCGTATTACTATGGGACCCCTAATCCAACACTGCGTGTTACTTACCCCAGCAATACACAAAGAACGGTGGTATGGCGGTCTCCGGTAACTGTTGAAATGTCCGGATTCTGAACCTACCAAGATGGGGTAAGCCAGCGCCACCATCTTCAGATGTGGCAGATGGACGTTTTCAAATTCTAAAGAATTGACTTTTTTTGAAAGTGCCGTCTACTCTGATCAAAAGATGACGTCTTTACATTAAGATGGCGTCCTGTTACCCTTGTGTTTAGGACGCAAATCAATGACAAAAAACATGGATACATCAGCGGGCCTGGTAATTTTCTGCGTTCTTCTAAGCATCATTTCCGGCATAGGTGGGTAACTGTTTCTTATTAAAAAATTCTTGATTGTGACTCACATTTTCTACTTTTTCATCTAAGAGTTTTTCTTTTCTCTTCATATTTCCATTTTATCAATAACATTAGTTTCGGGCTACCATTCAATGGCATTATAGTTACGTACAATCGATACGAGTATTCTCATACTAAGAGATTTCTTTCAGATTACAAATACCAAAATGATAAAAGTAACTACTAAGTTATATTTATTTGTTTATTTACGTATATATTTTTACTTCATGTTATGAAACATTATTCATTTAGATAGTTAGTACTGACAATTAAGAATTAATTAGATGTGCTTTAAAATAATAATAATAATAAGAAGAAGAAGAATACTAATAGAACTCAAGGTAAACATATTCCCAAAGCTAGAACAGTAATTTAACAACGTATTTAATATGAAATTGTCCGACTAGAACATGTATTGCTTTGTAGAAATCGATACCATAATCCGCCTACTTATTAGTACGTACCGAAAAAGTAGGTTTAAATCGTAATTTGAATTTAAAGTCTGAGATTAAAAGATTTAAAGAGACACTTGGTAAAGTCTATATACATGACCTACTTTCAAGGCGTTTATATACTATACGGTATAAAATTATGAACTTGTATGTAAATGTGCTAAATACACACACTCACACCCACACCCACACCCACACACACCCTCACACACACACGCATACACACACACCCTCACACACATACACACACACCCACACACACCCTCACACACCCACACCCACCCACACACACCCTCACACACACACACACACACACACACACACACCCTCACACACACACACATACACACACACACACACACACACACACACACACACACCCTCACACATATTTGTATTTGAGTTAGTGAATATGTGTATATTAAAATTATTATACTTGTATGTATGTGTGTGTATGAGGAGTATGAGTAGCCTTGAGGTATTCTGTTATTTTATGCTAAATTGATGAAACGAATATATTAAGCAAATTTTGCAAAAGTTGTAAAGCATATCTATACCTATATTATATGTGGTTACTTTTCTTTTTTAGAGAGAAAGAGGGGGATTTCTTACTAGACCTATATTTTCACGACTGCTATCGTTAATTGATTAGCAATATCTACTCTTCCTTTTTGGAACATTTGGGTTTATGTTTTTCTATGGATGGTCCCTATATATTGTTTTTTTTACTCTGATTTAAAGTAACACGTTTTTGCTTATGTATCCAGGTTTTCTTTCTCCTTCGTTGTTTGTCTAATTTTTATAACGGCTTTCTATTTGAGCATTCGTACAGGTTAGTGAATGAATGCGAAGAATTGTCAAAAAGATAAAAAAAAAAAACCCACAGAAACAAAAATAAAAAACCAACATGTCGAAACAATCATAATCCAAACTGAAAGATAGGGCAAAATATGGAGAAAAGAATGATATACAAGGAGACTCCTGAAAAATACAAGAATAAGTTAGTTGTTGCAGAAGAGTAAGCGTCTTTTGCTTTATCGACGACAGCTGCGAAGCAAGGCTATCATCTAGATTTAATAAAGCGTAACGGACGATTAAAACTATCTATCTATCAAATTTGCATACATAACTCTTCGAGAGACTACACTGCACAAAACTAACGACAAGTTCATCAGTTCAGTTTTTTAAAAAAATAGTATTCCTATTTGATGGACGGTACTGACATAGAAAATGGATTCCAATAACTTATTCTGAGACAAAATAACGCATAGAAAAATATAAAAGAAAGAAGTTTTAATATATTATGCTCAGATTTTGTTATTTTTTATAATGTGATCTAAATTGACAAATCGTTCAGTCCGGTACAGGAAAAAAAAAAACAAAAAAAACAACAACAAAACACAACGCAAGACATTGAAAGGTCCAGTAACACGACCTTCGAGTCCGTGGTTAACTTTTATTTTCCCTGGAAAGCAACAAACACTACAAGCAAGTAACTCACATTACGTGAAAGATACTAAGATATAAGACACATTTGCCATAAGTGTATAGACAGCACACAGCAGTATTGACAAATAAAAAAGTCATGGTATATCTTTGTCTCTCTACAGATGGCGCCTGTACATATCCAACAAACTTCGTGGATGGTTCCTTCTTTACTACAAGTGGGGAAACTCTTAACTTCACCAGTACGACAATGGCCAAACTGGCAGTGTATACTTTCGGTTCATTTACATTTACCTGTGACATAAGTAGTGGGAACCAATATGTCAGCAAGTAAGTTAGAATCATCTTGAGAGTATATCTGTTTTATGTGAGACACAAAAATAACATTTTTGTTCTTTTTACATTAGTGTATAATCATTACTTCGTGTGGGTTTTATTCTCATTCATTTTGTGGGTGCTCCTAATCCACGAATAGATGCACGGATTAGAACTGACATGAAGTTTTAGTATCAATTGATTTCATTGAGTAAATTCATCAAAAAAAATTAGCGCATTAAAAAAACTAAGACATCTGAGCTGTACAAAAATAAAAGATTTTAATATTAAAGCGACCTATCAATTTCACACTGGATGTAAAACCTATCATTATCAAATCAAGAATATACCAACATGTGTTAATAATAATTATTAAAACTCCTATTTAAACTACGACAAAGTATGAACTAAAGAAAGATAAAAATTGGGATTTCTGGAAAAGTACAAGGAGAATAAGACCAGACATTCCAGAAGAATAAGCAACTTCTGCTTTGTTAAAGACACCTGGCATGTGAAATTTGGTCTATCCGAGTGCATAATTTCACGTTCTGAAGTGATTACAATATATATAGCAACGGAACCAATAGAGAACTAACTAGCGTCAAACATGTCCAGTTTCATTTCACACAAAGAATATATTTTTCAATGAGATCTTTTTGACAATTACAAAACTTCCATATGAGTTTTATCAATCTTGAATTCCTGTGTCAGTGGACATCTTGCACGAAAATCATGATATTGTGAACAGACCCAGGAATATCTTATCAACACAGATTGGTTTGTTTATTGTCTGACTTTGTTGTGTAGAATTCAAAATTCAATTTTCTTTTCGATGAACCATTTTGAAGTTTTAGATATAGAGTTGTTAATTTGTTACAGATCAGAGGTGTTCAATAGATTCGGTCTTCCTTTTGAAGCCTTTATATGTATGGATTTGACCTCAATATCTTCAAATCAATACACATTTTATCAACCAACAAGTAAGTTAATAGTATGTGTCTGTACTGTATCAAATTCTACTTTATTTGTTTGTCTTATGTGCAAATTTGGTTTTATGTTCTTTAGTATCAAGCAAGAGTGAGAATTATAATTGATCTATGATATTTTTGTCTACAATTTTTGCGACTCTAGAATTCTTATATATAATATTGTATTCTTCTTTCTCAAATTTTAATATGAATGATCAGAAACAGATATTTCACAGAAAAGATAAATAAATAAAAAAGGATAAATAAATAAAGAAAAAAGATAAATAAATAAAAAAAAAAAAAAAAAAAAATGAAAAATAAATAAAGAAAAAAATTTTAAAAAATATTGTTAGTGTCTTGACATTCCTTTATCTAGATTGAATCAAATTTTTCATTTCAGCCGAACTCTCTGATGCCGGAAATACGAGGATTAAGATCTTTCTACAAGGGAAGACTATAAGCTCCGTATCTGAAGTATGCGATGTCACTGATTATACTAATTTGACGAGTGTTTACATGATAAAAGATGGTAAGTAGGGAATAAATAACATTTTACAAGTTTGATTTTTCGATAATCGAAACATGTTATGATAAAATTGATTATATATTCATTGTTAAGATATCTTGATTTGCAGTTGTTTTAGTTAGAGAATTGATTGAATCATAGTATCGATACAATCACATTAAAACATTTATCGCAGCATATCTTGATTTTACTTATTCATCCATGTAGTATGACAATTTGGAACCCTAGCATCACTGCTTAGTGCTACCAGGACGAACCAGCTGAATGCTGCAGTTTCATTAATTATATTTTTTTGTAGCCCTTCGCCTTAATCCCCATAGTGATGCAGTTAAAAAGAGACATTTACTTCATGTTCTTTTAAAATTGTTCGAAACGTATTGTTTATAACGTATCTTATAACTTATTGACGATTTCCGGCCTTTGGCATCATTTAACGAGACCTGGAAGTACGAGACAGTTATATAATGAAATTAAATTCATTGACAGGTAATTTGTATTCTATATTTATATTTTCAAATATCATTTCTTTTATCTAATTCTAGGTACCATTGACACAGAAAAGATCGCATGTCCATCTGATATGCAGGGATACTTCTCATATTCATATGACGCCGGAAGTGGAAATGTTTGTACCGGAAGTACATATCTTGATACCTGTACCGATACCACACTCATGGATTTTAACCTCACACTTTGTACGCAGATCCAGGCCTACTCAGGTATATAACAAAAATTTATATAGACAAGTAATACGCAACGCTTGATACCATTCACAGGTAAATTAACAATATGGAAACAAAGTAACCTATTTCCTACAATAACATATGTTTTGAATTATACAGTCTGGATAGAAACATTCAAACTCGCCTTTTCGAAAGTGTTGCCCTTCTTACGATTTTACGAAGCTCTATATTACTGCTTGTAGACACAATATTTGATATATTGATATACTTTATTGATTAAGATTTTATTTCCTTTTTAAAATTTTTTCTTCTTATTTTTCATCTCTTTTTTCTTTTTAATTAACGAGTTGCTTTTTATTTGTGATAGCTGGAGGCCAGGTAAACTGTTTAAGCTACACTACGAGTGGAGACTATACCAATCTTATCGTCTATAACAGAGACGCCACTGTCGACCAAAGTACCACTTATCGATTATCATGCTACGTATGTATAGATTGACAACGAATATATAGCCATTTTACATCAATTATACAGCACCTGTTCTTTAAAATCTGATAATTGTTACTTTAAACGTTAAATCTTTATTTGCGATAAAATCATTCTTTGTTTGGCTTTCGTTTTTTCATTATTGTTTTGTTTCACTTTGTTACGTGTTTCTGTCTTGTTTGTTTGTTTTTCGTTCTACATCTTTCTTATGTACTTGTCAATCGTCATCACAGCTATTGTTTCGTTGTTTCTTGTCTGTTCATGTTAACAATAATAAGAAGCTTTCGTCTTACGGAAACAAATCAAAGCCAGCAATAAAGACCTCCATATACGGTAGGCGTCCTCTGGTAACCTTAAGTTGGAGGAAAATAATAATTAACAAACGATATAACTATTACAATGCTTGAGCTTTAAAATTTGCTTTGAGTTCATTGTAGTGTCACAACAGAAGATACCTTATATATCATACGTCCTCTGCTATTTTTTCCTTATAATGACTTTCCTACGCCTACCCTGCTTCCACTCCGTTTTGATCACGTTTCGATACAATGGTTTCCCTTTTAATGTTTATGTTTATTTAATTATTGTAAATTAACTTCTGTCAGACCTTAAATACATTATGTACTAGCAATGCATGTTCCAGACTTAACGGAATTTAAAAAATATTAATACAGTACTGAAGCTATCCAACGTTTTACTCCAAATACATTGCTATCGAGTCTTTATTTCATGTACTCATTTGTCCGTGGTGTATATGACTTTTGTCCGCGAGTATAGTAACAGGCATTCATTTATATACAGAAAGGTTTCTCACGAAGAAAAACGACAACAAACAATATAAAGCAAATGTTTATTCCGTATTAATGTCTTAACAGACCTTTATTTATACGCATATATAGGAAAATGTAATTTGCTGTTTTTCAGGTGATGTCCACAAACTCGACAACCGTTTATGCCACTCAGTACCCCAATGGTTGCTACAGTGATCAAACATCAACGTCGGTCAATTCGCCAGGCGCAACTGTTGTCTTTACACAGACAGGCACTTGCCGTAAGTCACATTAAAATTGTCATGCATACAATCTTAATCACAGTTGTTTGTTTCTAAACATACATGTCTACTAGTTCCATGCTGTAACTTTATATTACAGCAACAATGAGTAGAGTTTCTTGATAAAGTATAGCCTCTACTGGGTACATGGTATAGACGAACGGTACTGAATCAAGGCTTTACTTATAACATAGTGTAACCGTTTCCTTTTTTGTTTTTGTTTTTCTCTTTGATATCAGTGTTCCGGTTTAGCTGTTGCCATTTTTTATTGAATAAATAATCTATTTACATTTCCTACGAAATTTATTGAGTTCTGGAGCTAGATTTTGACTTTTCATTCGAGTTCTAGAAGGATGACACAGCTGTATAATGCAGTTTAAAACACTGTTTGGCTCTACTATATATAACTTTAAGTTTGTATTTAAAGATGTTATTGACTTGTGTCACATTTGTTCAATCTTCAGCCGTGACTACCACAACCGAAGCAACAACTACAAGTACAGCATCAACAGGAATCATAGTAGGGGTCGTAATTCTCATCTTAGCTCTCCTCCTCATACTCTTATTTGCTCTCTGGTTCTGTTGGAAGAAGAAGAAGGAGGAAGAAGAAGCAAAACGAAGGAAAGAGCTTGAAGACCTAGAAGACGGGTTATCAGACGGTTTGCCGGATGAATCGAAATACGATATTGATCGACTTATGTATACGCCAGATCAGCTCCTGACACCTTCTAACGTCCATCCTAAAGTCACGGGCAAAATTCTGGACAGGGATAACTTTGAAGTAAGTACACTAGATATATATTGACATGGAAAACAAACAACAAACAAACAAAGATGCATAATAACACCTCTACCTGAAAAATAGTGGGAAAAGGGAAACATTGGGAAAGGCTACTTCTCTAAGCATATATGAAAAACAATGCATGAACGAAGTACAACGCATTTTGGATGCATACTTTATTTCACTCTCATCTTTTCATAGTCTGTTCTAAAATTGTCTAATACATTAAGATTATGAAGTATATCTTATTATGGGACTGCTGTTCCTCACCGATCAGATTTTCACTTTTCTTTCGAGACCCCAAGCAACACTGTCGGATGCTGACATGACGAAACAGCTGTATGATGTAGTTTAATTAATTGTTCGGTTCTACTGTATCTCATCCTAAATTATTGAATGGTGTTATTGACTTGTGTGTCTTTTTCTTCAATCTTTTGCATGTTGGTCTATAATATGTCTCAATTACAACAACACAAATATCACTTCTTTATTGCAGGGATTCGGTGATGATGAGTATATGGATGAATTTGGATGGCAGGATATGGTAAGATGTATTTCAATACAAGTTTAGAAAATATATTATTGGAATGACCTATTGATTTCTAGTATTGATTTATTATACCATGATATATTTATATGCAAAAATATATACTTTTATCAATATTATACTACCTTCAAATCTTCGAATGGTCAAGTTGACACATGAAATGTATTTTCAAAATTTGACAGATTGATGCAAAAGACTTCATGAATATTCGTAAAAGAAAGGACGGGAAGGATGAGTTCGAAGTAGGAGACCCTAAGGACAAATCCAGTAAGAAAAAATTGAAAGATTTGATGAAGTCGAAGAAAAAGAAGAAAAAGAAAGGAAAGAAAAAGAAGAAAAAGAAGGGAGATAAAAAGCAGTATGAGACCGATGATGAGTATGAGGATATCGAAGACGATGAAGACGAAGGAAACGTTAAAAACAAACGCGAATTGACCATCTATCTTGATGGCGCACAAGAAGAGATGGACGATGATTCTCCGAATGACAGTAGAAGAAGAGCACGATTTCAAGAGACGGATGACGAGAAAGTTCGACGAAAAAGGAAGCAGAAAAAAGTAAGCAATATTATTATCACAGTGAGAAAGGTTAATCCGGATTTTTATTATTCTCATTGAATATCAAGGTATTTATTTTTTCATTCTGGATGAAATGATGAAATTCTAATATATTTTTTCGGATTTACGGGAAAAATAAATCCGGATTGACAACGTTTCACGATGTTTTAATGCAATATTAATATCAATGTCATTTTTTGATTGAGAAATGCACAACATTTTCCACAAAAATATATTAAAGTTTGCACCTTAAACACTAATTCAGTATTCATTAATGACACAAAATTAATGCAGCTTGACATATTTTTATCAACACGATTAATGTTGAATTTTATTCAAATTCTAATGAATTCATTTTCATTATCACAGAAATAACTTTCACATTGGAGCGAAGTTGAGATACATATACATATGTCTTTGAGAATTTTATTAGGTATTTACACGGTAAAACCCACTGAATCCCTTCCCTTCGCGAAACCCGGTAACTCCGTGCCCTTTGTTGTCTCCAGGACATTGATGACGTAGAGACCGTTAGTGACATCATATCTTGCGATATGATGATAGGGGATTTGGATACGGAAAAGAGCCTTGAAAATGAAGTACCTCGGTTGGTTCTGCCAAATTTAAGAGATTCCGGTGTCGAAGAAGAAACTGAAAAGGTTAGTTTATGAAACCCTTTCTGAAGAAATAAATGACACCAAAGTAAACGGGAAAAACATTGAGCAATATACTGGTGATGATAAGGAAAAGGGAAATAAAAAGACAAAATAAATAATATTAATTCAATAAATGTATCCAAAACCAATTGAAGCGGACCAAAGAAAGTGTCTCTTTTCAAAGAATTAAAATGGAAGAAACACGCTTCCAATGCAGTAGATATGGATTCCAACGGAACGTTTATAAAATATGTATTTGCGATTCACAATGCGAATATATCTAACTATACCATCAGCTAAACTTGAACATTTTTAACTAATGGTGGTGTGCCATCAGAACGAACATTTCTCAATTGTGATTGGCTCATCAAGATCCGCGTTTAGATAACAATACAATGACCGAAATTTGAAACTGTTCCTTAAAATCCCCGCGATTTCTTTTAAAAAAAGATATGTCGCATATATCATCCAATATATTTTGCACGAAATTATAATTTTCACGCATCTCACTAATTTGCATTATTCACCAGTATATTGCGCAACGTATATAATTCATTAATCATATCTAGACAAGGTTTGTACTTCACCATCTGATTAATTGACTAGTTAAATGATAATTGCCAGCATCAATATACATAAATATTTTGACACCGCTTGAGAAAAGAACTTCTATATTATTTGTGCTATAAATATATATTGATCTTGTTAACAGGAATAATACTTTCAATTAGCTTGAAAATGTTATACTATCTAATATTAAAGAATTTGTGATGAGTTGTTACATTGCAGTTAGGTTTGAAAAGAGGATTTTGTTGCAGAAAAAACGGAAGAGGACGAAAGCCAAACGAAGCGAGCAACCAATGTCCTTCAAATCATTCCGTAAAAGGAAAGTGAATGCCTGGCTAGATAAAACACAGCCTGCTTTTGATGGTGATCCTATTCCCATGTTTTATGAGGAACCTAAACTAAAGACATTACCTCCCCTACAACGGGTCAATAGGAAAAAACAGCCGGTTTTATGGTCAGATATCCTGAAGAAATTTGGAGGAGACGTAAAAGAACTCAATGAATTTAAGAATAAACGCAATATGTCTGAAAATCGATGGAGAAAACTTCTTGAGGAACTTTATACAGACAAGAAATACTTCGACTACGTCAATAGTAAGTGAAAATACTGATATTAATATGAGTTTTATTTTTCGCGCTTTCCGAGGATGGAATAAAACCGCGTAAAATACATTAGAAAAATTGTATTAGAAAAGAGTAGTCCATTACATGTCTATCCTATTAAACATTTGTCATTGGATTTCATTTTATTTTGTGGAAATAAAAAATTCAACGTATTGAAAATAAATTGTAAGCATGTCATTCCGAAAAGATTTATAAAAAAATTATACACACAGATATTTCACGCTCTTATTGTCATAATCTATTTTCTTACTAAAACAATATGTTATAGTCATTTAACTTATTTATACACTATCAAAATTTTTAATGATTTATTATAGAAACTTCCAGAGGGAAAGATGTTGAGGACGATCTGAAGTCTCAAGCGAAGGATGGATTAGATTACCTTTATGATCGTGCAACGTTTTGGGAAGAGCAGCAACCGATTCCTCCAAGACCCGTGTCACTTGTTCCACCTCTTAATTTAAAAAGTGCAAGGTCCCCAAAGGGCAAGAAGAAAAAGGGGATGAAACGTGCTCCTCCAACGCCAATGACACAAGTCAGATTAGATGCAATGGACGAATTTCAAAAACCTCCAAGAGAGACGACATTTTGATTGAATGTTGTTGGTGGAACGGCTTTTTTTTCTGTGATATATCTTGTCGGTGCTGTGAGGTGTTATGAACAAGTTGTGATCTATGTATAAATAATGACGTGCTATTTATGGGCGGGTTTGGGGCATTTGATTCTATTCAAAATTCACATGCCTTTCTGGTACACATAAGATTCACTAAAATGATATGTAGCCGATATGTCTTTACGACTATTTTATTTTCTTAACAAACGTAAATTGTCCATTGTCATCATTTTAACATCGTTAAACCATCTAATCTGTCGAACAATAAATATCGTGTAAATATAACGCGATAGAATAGTATTTTCTTGATACTCATTCAGTTCAAGTCAATCTGGAAAGACAGCTGCTTTCAGCCGTCTGCGATAAATTTAGTTTTCAGTTCAACAGATTGAGCGGTAGTCTCGCGAACCAGCGAGGCTCCTGGTTCGATCGTATGAGAAAGAATAAGCGCTGTCACATAAGATTTAAACCACGTTAAATTCATATATTGATGAAAGACATTTGATTCATACACTAATGGCAGACAGTTTGTTTGATAAGGTTTGAATGTGATACACTTATACGTTATGTTTGCTATACAAGTATCAGAACGTGATTAGATTTGTCATAATTTTGATCATGTATGATGATAGTGTTGTTTCTATTGTATCTTCTCTCTGCATCGGCAATTTCACTAAGGCACACTGTTTTCTTCGTTCCATATCCATTTATAACTAGAAAATGAACATTTGTCTTTCAGTTTCGTTTATCTTTTGTTTATCTTTACCTATTGTTGATAATCAATTAAATCACATTCATCTTATTACTTGTTGTTTATTTTGACTACGTTATCTGATGATAATAACATTTTCACGATGCTCACTGCATCTTTCAATACTATTATATACACCATATCGGGATTAATTGAATTTAGATATGTATGACTTATGTTTGACGTTATGGTCATGTATAATCATATGAGGTACATCTAGAAAACCAAAATAAATACTTTTATATTGACCTCCGCTTTTATCTAATGTTACATTTTAGACTTGGTTTACACTGTCTTGAGATAATGTAACTTCCTTTAGAATTAAAATGACGTCACACCAACTTAGATATGAAAAATAAACGTTAGTAAATAGGTCGAACATAACTGCAATGACTCTTTATACAACAATATATAAAGGCATTTAAAGTCTTCATAAAACGTTTTTATTGTATATTTCTTGTTGGTATTGTTGTACATGGGCTATTAGCAATGTCTGTTCGATTTGCAGTGAAAAGAACACATCTTGAAAATGCAGATTTTTCATTTGATGTTAAAACATAGTAACACTTATGTTTAAGCTGGGATACATACACTGATATGGGAGTTGATGTTTTGAGTTGCTACGAAAGATAGATAAGTATGTAATAATTTCAGAAGCTAATTTCACTGCAAATTCTTGAATGATTTTGTATGATGTTCACATCAACGGTTAAATGCGATCCGTTCTGATAAAGGGTTTTACCTCGATTCGGAGAAACATGGTGAAGTTATAATATTTGACGATATGACAAAATTTGAAATTGACTTCATGTTTTTTTTATCAAAGAAATATGGTTTCTTCATGAGAATGATAGTTTTCAAAGCAATTGCTCTCTTGTCACCCCCATGAATATTAATGATAATTGACATCAATGATGGTTAACCATTGAAAATATACAAAATAAATAAAGATATAAAAGGGAATCAACATTATGCAAATGAAGTATTGAAACGAGATAAATTCTTAAATTTATGTAAAGCGAAGACGCAAATCGGAGGTGAATAGCTGTTTTTCTTTAAAGAAATGTATAGGGGATTATCTGATGTAAACCGATCACTCGCATTTTTAACTGATCTTAAGCTGAGCTGTCATCACAAAGAGATATCAATTTTCCTTCGTATTGCTTGGCAATAACACGTTGTTATGTGTTAGATTTTAACAACTAACTGTATCACAATAACACTGTTTTAGAATATGACTCTTGTTAACATTTTATACCATACAAGTAAATGGTAGCATTTTCCATGTCATTTATCAAAGGTTTTTACGCAAACATGTCAAACCTTCTTTTTTTCGGTTCTAATTTCCCCCCATTTTTCGTTATTTCTACGTCGGAAAATTAAACAAATAGAAGAAAAATCATTTTTATTATCTCCGTTAAAAAATAAGACCACAAACATTTGAATCATGAAGTTAAAACATATCACATAATCCGCCTGATATCTAGTGTGAATTCGCTCATAACATTTTCGCGTATATCTTACAAATGCATTATACCCTTCGCTAGTCAGAAATCCATTGTGATGTCATAATACGGAAAATCATTTTACGTCATGGATTCAAAATGGAGCAACAACAAGATCTCAACAAAAATAACATTGAAATGATAATTTTGTTCGGTCCGATCCAAAGTATTGACATTTCTATGATATTAATGAATATACAGAGAGCCATGAAACTTTAGTCGGTAACACACTAGACTTTACAACCTTGGGTGAAGACCTAAGATGTGCAGTTCTATAGACCTGCTCTGGACAGTTTGTATTTCTCAGGCAGCTGAGATTACGGATCGTTCTGTGCAGTAATGGTCATGTCCATGGACAAGACACTTAACTCTGATTGCTCTGAATAACATGGACTATGCCTACTGCATGTAGTTCAGTGAAGTAGCCACCAGCCACTACAAAGATAACTACGACTCAAATGACCCTTGTTGTTTATTGGGTTATATAACAAATACAAATACGAAAGACTTATAACTATTATACAATTTCTGCGATACATGAAAATTCGTTTCATTCTATGATATAAACATTTTCAGCGGAAACCTAAGAAGACTTCAACAGTAAAAGTGCTTCACCACGCAACCAACTACCTAGTGCTTCAGTCCAAAGCAGGTCCAAAACCGGTATGTATTACATTTACAATTACACGTGATACAAAAAGTCAGACAGGAATTCGGTGTTTTTCACTGTCTTTAGACTTAAATAGCATTAAATGTCAGAAAACAAACATGTAGTCTAAAACTCTAGTGTAAATGTTAGATTATAATTAAATGAAATGGCGAAAAAAGTAGGTCCCTAAATATGCATATGCAACATCTGGCGGAAAATATGTGTTAGGAATCAGGATGGTCCATATCAGTTTCAAATAGCTATATTTCGTGTGCAACATCCGATTAAAAATCCATTCCTCGACTTGTTGAACCCAAGTTCAGAACATCAATGTGAATCTTTATAATCGTATCTAAATTCCTAATCATGTGTAATTATTACCATCTAGTTTGGTTTTACAATGCTTGACTGATCTCTTGCTCGAAATGAGATTCATGAATTTGGCACAGATATATACAGCGACTGTATTTTCGAAAGCATCTGTTTCCCTATCAAGCAGAGTACAGCCGACTGAATCCTGACAAATGCTTAAGTTCATTTGAATGCGTGTTTTAATAATCGTTTGTGTTTAAGATGGACATCTTTTCAAAATTTTCCCGATTGCGATGTCTTAATGTGGTGCTCGCCTCATTGCTGATCTCCACTTTTTGTCATCCTTCGCTAATAGAAGAATTATGTTGTTATTTTACGCAGCCTCCAAAGAAACCTAAACTAAAGAAAGTGAAAGGCTGGTACGTTATGGCGGGCGAGGTAAAAAATAATAAATTGGCGACAATCAACACGATTATGGGAAAGACAGTGACTGATTCTAGTACATATTCTGAGTTTGAAAGGGTACCTGCACGTGACAAGCCTTACAACCAAGACGTAAGTTTTAACACCAGGGACGAATCTATATAGACTAACACAGAAGTCTAATTTTTATTCATCATTTAGCTGAAATTTCTAATAGTAAATTCATATTGACTTCCCTGGCAAACTAACAGAGTCCGTCTCTAATTCTACATTTGACGATATTATTTAGCATTGCTGCTTATTTGTATAATTAATTATATATGTGCCAAGAAATAAGTCCACGCATTTATGCTTACACCGCACATTTTATGCCCCGATCGCAAAAATCACATGTCCAGTGGATGTGCAAAGGATACCTAAGTTTGCCTTGTTCATCCTTGTGTGTAACATGTTACAATTTGATTACTAAATATCAAATACCGTAAATAGTCTCTCTAGTTTCAATACAATATGACAGCATTTATCCATAAATTTCACGGAATTACAAAACCAAGCGGTTACAAAATCGTTTTGATGTATATATTCATCATTATCTTTATTATGTTTTTTTTGTTGTTGTTTATAGGTTTTCGACACTGTTTTCAACAAGAAGTTCAACAGTTGGACGCATGGTTGGGATTCATAATGAAGTTAAATACAGTAGTATAATTCCGTCATCATATACCAAATTCGATACAATTGTTAAAGCATATTGGCCAAGAAAAAGCAAAAACACATCTCATGTTTATATTCAATAACTTGATAAACTTGTTTAAACACGATAAATGAATGAGGGCAAATTTGCAAGGTTATTCAATATTAAATAAGCCGATTCTACAATCTGCTTAAAATCAGAGAAGATCGTTGTACTTTTGTCACCAATTCATTAAGATATTGTTCTAATTGATTGAGATCTTTGCATTGACATTCATTTAAGATATAGTAATTTCATTGATGATATAGGAATACATGATCACTATCAAATTTCATTCCACATCTCCAAACATCGACCCTTACCTAACATAATGTTTCCCTAGTATTTGTCTCATCTTCATGCCAATGGCCCTCGTTGTTATGCAGCTACTATATAAATGAGATGTATGAGATTTCGCGATTATTACGATGCGTCTCAAGTGAACTGAAGTATGTAAGCGGAAAATATTCCTTTTTATTATCATTATCATTTTATTTTTGTAATAATTATCTTTTCATATCTTTTTCTAATTAGATATTATAATTTTATTTTTTAATGATTAAAATATTTAATTTCATTGCACATTATTATCACTTCTATCACAAGCCACCCTCCCTCGCTTTTTATGGCATTTTCAAAATATGGCATGTGAAGCTCACCCTTTCCTTTCATTGAAAACACTAGCACTGCTTACCCATGTATTTGCGTCTTTCCCTTCACTTTGGTGTTGCTTTGATGGAAAGACGATGAACTGGTAAATTAGTACCAGTCAAGATAGAATATTGTTGCACGATTTAATTCAGTCAGTTTTCAACAAAGAAAATCGTATTTACAATAATGCAGAGCCTTTCTCGGATTAAAAAGTGAAGATTGGCAGAATAGTGTATCTTTCCCTACCTATATGAAAGCGTATATAAGAGCATTTTTTACCCTGTGAAGTTAATATCATTTTAATGAAATTACCTCCCATTCATCTCATTCATCAATTTATGTCTGAAAGTGTTTTAGCATTCACTTACTTTTTTTATCATTAATCATCATTAAGATATAAACTGTATTTGTAGTTTGATTTCTGTTCTTAAAGTGCTGTTTGCTATTTATTAACTCTTACAATGCTATCAACTATGCTAGATTCTTCCAATGAAATAAACTTATTTCAATGTATAATGTGTCAGTTATCATTTTTACAAAATCATTCTGCTGGCACTTAAAATAGTGTTATTTAGTTATAAATGATGTTGGCTGACACACAAAATATGGTACGTTTCGAAAACGCTATCGGACTGTTTCCAAAGACAAGTTCTAAGGCTACCCGGAATACCATCCTTGAGACATCAATACCATCCTTAGGATTTGTTAACATTTAAATGTTTCACGATCACAAATCAAAGGTATCTGTTAAAGAACCTATCTTAAAATTGTTAGATAGTACGAAAGCACTTGAATCTTGAAGTTAAAAATCAACTTTCAGTATAATAGGATAAACGGAATTGCTGATGAGAATTTTAGCATGCAGTGTAACGTTACAAATCTTTTAAATGAGGGTGGTTTTTGGAAAATTCCTCAATGTGAGAAAAGAATAAAAAAAAAAAAAACCTTAGTTGTCAATAACGCCAAAGAAAATGTAAACTGAGACGCTTGGGTTAAAGATTTTGTGAAAGTTTTTCCAGACGGCATCATCATCACATTGGGAAATAAGATTGTATTCCTTGTGCAATTTGGATGTGTTCAGTAAGGTTATGCTGTCAGTCGTTGAAGATTGTTGACATTCAAGAAAAGTTTTGACAATTTAGATCAACATAGCTACATTAGTTGTTTCAAGGACGTGAAATGAGTCAACTTATCAAACTTTGGTAACAATAACAGATGACATAGACTTGAAAGGAAGGTCAATGCAATGAGCTTAAGCTTGATGAAATACAATATAATGATTTATGCAATAAATACTCGAAACAATATTGATGTTGATATATCAATTTATTGATTCATGCAATAAACGGGAAATCGACATGCAATATAACATAAAGTAAGAATGGGGTTGCAGTACACTGACAAAAATATCATTTTTATATCCAATACATTTGTTATCGTACAACAATGGTCAATATGCGTTTCAACAACGTTCCATGATGTGCCAGGGGTAAGAAATACAAACATTTAAAAGTCATCCACAGGCGCTGTTGCATTATAGCTGAATTTTCCTCACTTTTCCTTTCTTTGCTTTCTTTCCACTTTGAATTCCTACGGCGGAACTCGATCCCATACTAGGGCTTGTGATCGCTTGACTTGCTAGATTCCACATACCGCGCATTCTTTTCCATAAATCGTCATTTGCGGGTTTGACAGGTTCGTAGAAGGTAACCTTCTCAGGAACCTTAACACGAGTGGATCCTTCGGGTAATAAATCGACATCCGTGTTCGCTCTGAACATCACCATGCTATCGTCCTGTATTCAATTAAATTATAGGAATCATGTTTAACCATACACATCTAACGTCATATGTAAATATTGAAAAACAATAATGACATAATATTACTATCGCTAAAGCTACTGCTTTTGAAATGGGTTTACCTCGATCAAATTAAAATCTATTGAAACACGTTGGGAATGGATTAGTGAGAAGGGAGAAGATGGGTGGCACGCAGTTTGGAAAAGTCTACACGCATGTTTTAAAAGGTGATACTAACTTGTAAAAGTGACATATACACTGAAAGTAACAACCTACCTCCCGACAACTACTCCTCGTTGATCGAAGCACCAGTTCTGCTGTTTCCACGCGTCCCTTCAGAATCAATTCATAAATAAAATTACTAACATTGATACCTGTTCAAAAAACGACTCTTTGGCTTGAGGTTTTGATTATTATCTCCCCTTAGTAAATATGGAAAATTATTGACTCTAGATAAAAGACTTAAGATTTCATATTTACTATGTTGACCATGATAACCACAGCTTTATAATGTGTTGTTTTATCTAGTATTCAATAAGCTACACGTACATATGTTTCTGTAAATAATAAAAACCAGTGCTATATTTTGTGAATAACATTTGATCAATAGCTCTCCATTACTTCATCAATATATATTTCAAAAGTATAATAATTTAATGATTTTGTCTTTAAATTGTCTTTCACAAAGAATACACACAAAAATCCGAATTACACCTCAAAATAGCCTGTGTCATTTAGAAATGTAGAGATAAGTGAAAATATGTTGGAAGGGGTACAAATGCATAGTAATTAATTAAATAAGTTAATCGACGAAATGATTGGAGTGTATTATCACTAACAAAAATGATTAAACAGAAGGAAAAGCATTCTTTATTAAGGGGAAGCAATTCCCCCTAAACATCAAGAACGACATGAACATGTAGAATTCCTTACCTTACTGGCGTAGCAATCTGAAAACAAAGAATACCCCCTGTACACCTTGTAAGCGGTATGGCCAAATGAAGTACATGTGGAAACAATTACAAAACAAGGAAGTCAAGGAAGATACACATGCAGACTGGATATCCGATTGATTCATGAATGGGGATCAAGAGGATGGAGTTTGGGGAATGGAGAGGAAGAACTGTTATACTGAAGTTTCACATCAGACAACGGTAGGGTAGATTTGGTGAGGGACTGTTATAAGGTCCGAGGTATTTCCCATTTAATTGAATTCTTATTAATTACATAACGTGATGATTTTAATGAAAAATAATTTTAACTTACACCTTTTTATTTCGATCATTCATTGAATCATGTTCATACATACAGATATCACTTAGGAATTGCTTATGACAGATACTGAATTTTGGTGATAGAGATGAAATCTATAGAGAGGCAATCGTACAAAGAAAATATGAATATACCCGTAAATATTTGGTTTGTTTTGTTATTTGTTTGGTTGTATTTTATTTTGAAAAAAATCAGATATATTTTCTTGAAAACCACGAGGCAACAATTTTTCCCTTTATCATACATTTTCTTTCAATTTATTTTTTGTGGTAAGTTTATTCCTGAAAGTTACAGCCTCTCGAGTAGAAAAGAATACAGTTACTTACAGCTTGCTTATGAAAATTCAATAACGTAAAAAAAAACTGAATGATACATTAGATTGAGAACCGTAATGCTTACGTTGATATTTGTCCGTTCTACATCCGTCATCGTTGATGGTGCGGTTTTGGGCGTGGTTCCCCTTCGCATACCCCAGCTACTACTTGGTGGTTTCACGTTCGGGGAATCCTATAGACAAAATGTCGAAGGAAAACTAGTACGTGACAGTTGGCGAAAAATTATCTCGTCTTTTTATTATTGTTTTACTAATATCATCTAAAATAAGATTACTTACAAAATACGAAAAAAAGCAAGATGCAGGACCTTTGTAAATACTAGGCCAATAAGTAGAGATATTTTGGAAGGATAATCGTCCTCTGCTTCATCAATTACACCCGCCAAAAGTATATAAATTCAATCAGAACAGCTATTTGGGATCTATAATTAAACATATATAGGCAACGGCTGTGTCAACACATCGACACTAAGGTATATTTTTGTGCTTGTGCGTTAAAGCTTTTATGCGTTCCATGCGTTCTTGTCAATATGGTATATTCTGACCTTATGTTAGTATTATGTTCCTCACAAACTACCAACCAATTACAGTGTACAGCAACAAATTTAGTCAAATGTTTCACATACTTGTGTTTTTGACTCCATCGGGTGTTTGAGGATCGGCACCTTCTTCTTCTTCTTGATGAGATCCGCCAGCGTTTCTCCTCGTTTCATCCTCATTTTGTAGGCTTTCTCTCTGAGGGATTCTTCTTTAACGACGGGTGTGTTCGATGGAATATCTTTCTCTTTTTCGTCTACTTCCGGCATCCCGTCCTCTCCTTCCTCAGTCTTAATCTGTCAACCACCCACCCATTTTCAATTACAGCACGGTAAAATCTGACTACAGGAATAAATTTGTTTTCAAACAGGAGTAAGAAGACTTGCTGTGAGGATCCTAAATCTTTTATCTCAAAAGATATCATACGTTAAATCAACTTTCAATAAAATTAAATATTTTGTTAAGTCAGATTTCATCGTACCTTTCTGCGATTTCTAATTCGTTTGATTGCACGCTACAAAAAAGTTTGCTAGTTAGAAACATAGCTATAAAAACGTTTAAATCATGGATTGGGTATTTCTGTTAGTTACTTGTTTCCACGTTTGAGTAGGACGGGCACGGGTAAACATGTTAGTCATATTGGTTGCCGATTGGATCTTATTATCATGAATGCAGATTTCTCTAGATTTCCTCAATTTAAAAGATGCATTTTTTTTTTCAATTTATATATTGAATATAATCAGTGCAATGTTTGATAATCAACAAGAAATAAAGATTCTATTAAAGCTTAAGAAACCTGCATTCATACATTTAATTAAACCTTTTCTTAGGTACATACCAAGTACTTTTTTTTCTTTTTCTGTCGTTTCACTGGCATCTTCAATAGAAGCGTAGAGGTGCCGAATGTGATTTTATCTTTTGAATTTAGACGACTTTTTTTCTACAAAACAGATTGCACAATTATAACAGAAAATGCCTACCAATTAAATCATGTCCGCTACGTTCGCAAATTTTGTGAGTCCGTGAATTTGACGAAAGATAAAACATGAGTAACTTTAAAACCAAATGAGAAATAGGAATACAATTGGTCTTACTGATGATTTTGTAGTTTTTTGAAAAACTGAATCCGCCATTTTATCTTAACAGTAATTGTCTAGATTAAATCGTACATTTTATCAAGTACCTCCAATACTAATTTTTGACTTAAACCGTGTGTAAATGTAGAACTTTGTTTCTTCATGTCCAAGAATGGTAGTAGGTCTATACTTAATACTATACATGAATCCATTGAAATGTACAGCGATTCTGTGTTATATCCTACCATATGTACAATATGTATAATGAACATATCTTCTGCTATCATGGTGTTTAAAAAAAGGGGTAGGTATGAGGTTTGTCAACGGAGGATTTGGACAACATGCTGGAAGGTTTGGCATTCAAGAGGGTCGGTTTCATTGGAAAGGAAATTCAAACTGCTATTAACAAAATCATCATTTTCTATATGTCCAAGAAAATTTCTACTTTAAGATAGTGGCATTGGTGACAAACCGTATGTGACTGTGTTTTCTTCTTCCCCTTTATGTCTGAAGCCTGTTTGGACACCTTTCCGTCTTCTAATATTATCGAGACTCGACTTTTTGCACTTTTCTTTCGTCGGCGACGCTTCTTTTTAAGTTTAGCACTATTATTTTCTGTTATTGTTCCAGCATCTACCATGTTCTCATCTCGGGGATTCGGGGTTGCTGACTGAACCACTATTGTTGGAATATCACCACGCAAAGAAAACTCAGTGATATCCTTCACTTCGTATTCATCATCATCCGAGTCAACATCTTCGCCGTAGTCATCGAAGTCCGAAAGGGGTGATTGAATACCCTCCTCGCGTGCCGAAAGAGGAGGCACCGATATCACAATAGATTCCTCTCTCCGTATTGTGTTTCCATTTTTATCCGAATGTATAACACCATCGTGAATGTTTTTACGACGATTGCGAATTTCGCCATTTGCGAATTTAGGATCTGGTCTAGCTGCCTCTTCGATTTTCCTTTTTTTGTAGTTGATCCAGCAGAAGTAGCTGATTATACACCCAATGATTATAACAACCAACGGAATGAGAACAGCCAGAGCTACAGTACCAGCATTCGACACGTCAGACGATGTAGCTGGAATTCAATTAATATACATTAGAAAGCCGGAGTTTCGTATAAGACGTAACTTAAGCAAACATATGTGAAGGAATAAGAATATGTTAATTTTGTGAGAGTCGTAAAGTTATTTAGTTACGGAATCACCCAAACATTAATTTTCATTAATTTATGTACAATGTCTAATTTAAGGAGTTTTCTTTGCAACGTCTAAAATTTTAATATGTCAGTATTCATATTAATGATTCTAAACAAAAATGGCATACTCACGACAGGTACCTGTGAAAATGACAAAAAAAAGAAGATATTTCAGGTCATGTGAAACCAACACTTTACCTACATTATCGAAGTATCTTCTACAGGTTTCGCGTCATTAAAAAACAACACCATTGATTTCAAATCGTGCAGAATTTCATAGTTGACTTACTTGAGAGACTGAAAATGAGGCTTGTACCGGGAGAATTTACTGTCGTAGATGTCTGGTTTTCATGACATTGTTTAGGGTATTGTGTTATATACCGGTTATCTCCAGAAGTTGTCATAACCTTTACAAGTAGACAAAACGAAACTAATAAATATAGACATGATTTTATGCAAATCGCAAATGATATAGGAAAAGAAGTAAAATACATTCTTTCCTTAAATTGATTGATTTGTCTACTTTCTGATGATTTTCTTCTTTCTAAGTGATTTAAGGGTAAATCATTTTCTTGAAGAGATTGCTATGATTTGTATTTATGTATAGTTTAGATAGCTCGCTGTTTATTAAATACTGTAAAAGTATACAGCTTATAATATATCGGACATAAGTGAAGGGTTCCGTTATTATTACAAGATCACCGGTAATTATTATTTCTATATAACTGTATATTATTGGGGTCTTGTGATACATGATATAATGGTAGAGGTGAAAATTTTTATAAAAAATGACACATAACTCTGTGCTAGAAAACGAGTTTTGGTATGAGTTCTATGTATTTATCAGTGGTAAACGGGAACAATATTTGAAGAGGGCAATGTTAAAAGAAATGAAAATATTCCAGCAAAGATTCGAAGTCATGTGTCTACGAAATGGAATTTTTAAAAGTATAGTTGTATTGGCTAAGGGTTCGGGTGACACATGATCGGTGAAGCAAAACCAAACATGTGTGCTGGGTAAAGATTGTAGTAATTAGTTTTGTATTCACCAGTTTCGCAGTAAAAAATTAGACTCGAGCGAAAAATAATTACATAAAAATTAAACAAAATCCATAAAACAAAAGGAAGGAGCAACCGATGAATTTTTAGAGTAACTTCCGAGTCGTTTAGAAGCTTTGCAATTTTGACTCTTTCAAACGCTCATATGTCCAAGCGCATTATCATAATTTTTAGTTTTAACAACTGTTTTCTGTGCTACACCGCATCGATTGTGCAAACAAGACGTAACAGACTATCGTGAAAAATAAAATTGGTAGTATTGCACCAAACAGGTATTTATCGGATGAATTACACATGTTGCTAGAAGATTGATAATGTCAAACACGTAGGTTAAACATAATTGGGGGGATGTCTCTAATAACCCGATGATATTAAGGGTTATATAGGTTACTGAGATATGTAAAACTCACCAGACAAATAAATCGGTATGTAGAAGATTCGTCTGTCGTTGTGTCGGCATTGTACAAATTTATATAGGTATTTGAACTATCTGTGAAACTGTAGAGATAATACAAAATACCGCCACCTGTAAAATAATGAATTATGATGTTAATGACAATGATATTGTTCATGACAATGATATTGTATAATTATAATTATGATATAATGATATTAATACAGTTTATCAGCGTTACCTATTTTACATGTCTGTTATTTTTTTATAATGTACAAATCTATAAACAATTAACTCTTTATTGTTTAAAATAATAAAAATCTTATTTGCTACATGAGAAAAATTATAATATACTATCAAAGCAGTCATTTTTGTTTGAGATTTTTTTTTCATTTCGTGGGTACTCTCAATCCTCGAATTCATGTCCACGAAATGTTCAAATAAGTATAGGTAGGCTTAATGAGCTATATTTATTCACGCAATTCAATGTCCCGGAAATAGGTTTAAAGAAAAACGCGAAAATTCAACCCCACTTAAATATATGATTTCACAGTATGTAGTTTTCGCATTGATATGGAATCTGATGTAAAATAGTTTCCATCTTGCCAGGTAAGCAATTTTGTTTTATTATCAAAAGTTCCATACAACAGCAAAAGTATTCCATCAAAATTGTTTAAAACATTAAGAGGTTGAACATGTTAAGGATCATATTGAGTGTATTTCAGTTAATATCTATTTGCTTAGTTTTTTGCAATTTATTCTTATATTAAAATGTGATTTCATTGCTATTGTTATTACAGCAAATTATTCAGAATCATTGTAATATAAAATTGTATAAATTGTTTTATAAAATTTTATTTTTTACTCACTTGAATACATAACCATTTGGGAACATGATGAATAGGAAAAGCTTATATCGGAGGTAGTGGTACAGACATCAGCTGAAGTTGTGTTACCAGAACATACGTCACTTCCGGATCCGTTATCATACGTGTATGTCCATTTTGATTGTAGGTCTGTTGGGAAGTCAGTTTTGGCACTGTTTATTTCGCCTAGAATTGACCAGAATTTTTCCTTATCAGGACAAACGATATGAATTCGTGCAAAAATCGAGTACGTAACAAGATGTCATATTACATCATAGATACTAAGTTGCCTGAATTGAATTTTCAGTTCATCTATAAAAACTTTTGTCTATGTGTATACAATGTCATCATTTCATACATTACAATTAGACTGGAAACACCACGTTTAATGTTCATTGTTTGTTATTTTACTCTGATCTCAGCTGGTTCGATATCAAATCCTCAGGCAAAATCATTACTATGTTTTACCTGCATCTGACACAGTATTATTGAGCATGAAAGTATTACTGTATTACCATCCTTGACCAGTACGTAATATGTTCCCGTAGGATACGATGACCGGTCACACACGTTCGCGACTGTAAGATTCGTTGTTGGACTAGATGTCTTTAGACGATCATTCCCGGCATAACTGTTCGGCTCTTAAAATTGGAAATGGAACAAGCATCATGAGACAGCCAAGTTATGACAAAAAAGGAAATAATTCCAAAATGAGATACAATGTAGAAATTTACCAAAATCCGATACTGTAGGATTACTTGTTGTTCGTGGTGTTTTCTTCATGTTTTTATTCTTTTCGTGGATACTCTTATTACACGAATAATAACTGTTTAAATTTTTAAAAGCTTATTTCTTTGGTTATAATTATCAACGAATAAAATATCCCAGAAATAGTACTTTTCGGGGGGAAAATGCATGAATTTATATTAGATTTCGAAATTTTCGTTCGTTAAAAGAGAATGAACTATGAAGTGACATTGATACTTTTCCTACAAATGAAGGAATCATATATGAGCTGTCTCGTCTCATTGTGATGAAGTTTCCGTTAAAAGCACATGAGAATAACGTACTAATGTACATCCTAAATATGAGCTTTATACCTTGTTTTATAATTTGTCAACAGTATTGTCAGGAAAAGATAAAATTGGTCTGAACTTTCTTGCATGTTATTTATACGAGTCTTATAAAGAAAGATTTTGACGTAGAAATATAACCACTTACCTGAGCCAATGAAGTATGTAAATTTCGACGAGGATAATTCTGTTAATACTAAACATAGGTAGGCATCAAAATCAACGCTTAGATAGGTAAAAGTGGGGGACCTAGTAAGAAATAAAAAAATACGTATCAACAAAGTTGGACAGCTGTAAAATCTATTACCGAAACACACATTCTGCCCTTGGACAAATATTTCAAACCTCTATTACTTCTCAGATAATTACATCTTTCCATTTGACAACTTCATAATGTTTTATTCAATATTATATTTCGGTAAATGAAAGATATGAATTCTAAAATGTGACATTTTGGTATTGTTAATGGTCAGTGACTCACTGACTATAATAAACAATGTACAATACAATAGGATATACCTTAGGACATATTGTGACCCGGAGTATGTATCACAGGCAAATGTGAAAGTGCCAAATGTCGTGGTGGGGTAGTTAAGAAGAGAGGTAGAGGTGAAGGTCATGGAACCCTGCTCACTGCTCGTCCAGGATCCCTCTAGATTGGTGGGTAGTGAACACGTACATTCTACAAAGTTATAAGAAATCAGATGTAGATATGATCTATGAATACACCAGTTCACAATCAGGCACTTTATATTTCATTACTCAGTCAAGCATATATTTTCTGATAATAGCCATTCGTAAATTTGTATTTCTGTAAAAGCCAATTCCATTTTGACTTCAACCTATTAGAACTAAAATGGTGACTATCAATAGTGTAATGTAAGAACTATTTTATGAAAATGTCAAATATCTGAAAAAGCACATAAATCAGATACACTTCACACATATATAATAGTCAATATAAATGTTTACTAATGTGTCTGATAAGAGATATAACCTGTGAAACAATAATCAATACCGTTCGTTTCATACCAATTAAATCCAACAGTCATTGTACTCGAAATGTAAACCTCTTGAAAAGTTAAAATGCTTTGAAGCTTGTCCACTCAGTGAAAAGTCGATACTATAATTCTTCTCATTACAGCGATAATAAACCTAAATTCTTGTATATTTTTCCTATTTCATTTTCATCATTATCCAAACTCTTAATCGAGCTAATTAAATTACAACAAAGTATCCCTTAAGTGTACGGATGGTCTTTATTCTCAGAATCTTTTCGCCATATTCAAAGAGTATGTGAGACAATTAGATGTGCCAGACACATTGCCGAGTATTAACAACAGGTTTTATCATTATCATTAAACAAGGAAAGGTTTCTTAAATGGTAAATTATCTTAAATGAAACAGGAATATCAGTATTCTGGATTTTATGGTATTGTTTCTAACTACGCATTTCAATTGTTTGTCTTTTGACATGATTTTATCAATTTAGAGTAAAAATTATTATAACACTTATACGATCTTCATTGTTTATTTCGAAAATTGACAGCATATCAATTAACATTTTTCTCTTTAACATGATTTTTTCCGTCAGACATTGGTCTTGATTATACGTAAAGCATTCCTATGTATTTGTCAAGAATGATCATTATAAATGCTATCAACGGAAAAAATCAGAATTATCTTACTTATGAAGTTTAACCAAATCCATGATTGCTATGTTAAAACCAATATATAACTAACTTAAGTTTCTTGTATATCTGCTCAATGTTAAGCGGATAGATATAAAAAATACTGTATAAATATAATGCTTTATGAAATAATATATGTATGAGGTAATAATTAAATATATAAATAAAAGAATATTTACTCATCGGTATTAATTTATATAATTAAAATCTCATTTTATGTCATACCTTTAACTTTTACTAAAAACGGATAAACAAAATTCTTACTTCTGAATATACATGATATATTACTAAGGCCAATGTTGCAGTAAACAAGGGCAATTAGAATAATTAAGATAATATTCCCATAGTAAACAATTTACTATGTCACATAATTAACAGAAATATACCGTTAATTACATACCTGAATATCGAACTAGGAATAATATCCATAGCAACGCACCAATCCCCATGGTCTCAAATAGGCCCCCTCCTTAATAAGGTCACGGTCTACGTCATGTCACCAATTGCCATCATATATGTCATCGATTGATGCAGAGAGGTGTCATCCTCATCATACTGGATCAGTCACCGAAACGTACTGTAGAGGTTTGGTATCGTTAGACAGTGCTACACCTTACCATGTAGGGCGCTGCTAATCCCATTCGGCAGGAAAATTGCACTAAACAGATTACTTTCATTGTTTAGCTACGACAATCAGGTATTTAAACTATATTGTCAATTGTTGTAATAAAACTAGATCAACTATAAACTACATAAATCGGATTATGTTCTGTTAAACTTTAAGTTTCCTGTGTAAAGCCCTTCATTTTATAGTATGATGGTTACCAAGGCTCAAGTTACCACAGTATGGTTGGCTTATCCAAACAGTTTTTGAAAACGCATTTCAGCATTTTTGTCATCAGTCTTTTTCACAAATGACATAATATAATATCTTTATTGAAAAAAAGAGATATAAATGAGTAAATAAATGGTCAGGGAAAAACTCGCACACATTGCTTTCTACCTGACATTCTGATATATGCATATCGTTAAGCTGACTATTTTCACACATGGAATTCGTCCATGTTAATTCCTCCAGGTTTTATCCGGCATTTGACCATTCTGCATTTACTATGTGTATACTTTGTACTAGAACGATAATTCCCGAAGTTTTACACATTATCGGCTATGTGTAAGCCTTTGTACTAGAACGATAATTCCCGAGGTTTTACATATATCTGTCCAAATTGCATTTGTCTGAACCAGGTAGATTACGGGATTGACTTCTCTTACACATTGTTCTACTTAGAAGGTTCACAATAGGGATACAATTATCTAAATACCATACCAATATACTGAACATTGTTAACATTGATAACTGTATTGATGGTCTTGTTTCCAGTTTTTGTTATCCATGCTAATGATATGTTCTATCTCTTCACTTCACGTTTTTTGTTTTACCACGACCATGAATTCTGTTTTTGTCATTGTTGACTTTTTCTTTCAAATTGCGCTGTGTTGTTAACACTTCAGTATATTTTTCCTATAATTCATTAAAAATATTTTTGATCCTTGGTTGGCGCTTGTCCACAGATAAAGGTATTTATGGCATGTTTGCGTTTATATATAATGATAAACACGACTGTCCATGCCTAGGTAAATCATGATAAAATTAATATTTTCCTTTCATTGCATACAATTTTCACTTGCTGGTTTGATATCAAAACAAGAAGAATGGAAATCTGAAAGTGCCATGATAATTAAGCGTTCCGTGAAACAATACATAGTTTTCGTATCGAGGAGGGTCCCTACTATTGTTAGTTACAATAGGTGACATAAAATCAGTTTGGGGCAGTAAAGTTTAAGATATTATACAACATTATGTAACATTGTGCCTATAGCTGATTTAATTCACATGTCAGGATTTGGTAGCAATATTAACTAGAGGCTTTAATATTATATAAATATCGATAGGTTTGATATATGAACACCATATATTGCTTGTTAAGTGTGTATTAGCATATCAGACTTCAGATGGATTTTTTGTCATAGGGTAAATATTTAGGTTATGGGGGAAGCATATTAAGACGTTTTATACATGTAATAATGGGATATCACACACACACACACACACACACACACACACACACACACACACACACGCACGCACGCACACACACACACACACACACACACACACTTAATTAATAAAGAACAATTATTTAAAATAAGGAGATAAACAAAATAAATTGAAAAATAAAAGGCGTATAGATAACGTAACTTTCAAAATATTTCAGAATGCAATGATTTAAATAAATGTGACAAGATAGCTTAAAGGTCAAGCGAAAACCTCCTGTCCACGAGTCAAATCCCTGGCTTTTATGTACTAATTGTCTATAATATATGGATGCACGACTTTGAGTGTACTTGCCGACGTTATTATCACAGAACAATGACATTTCCTGATGGCCCCGAGACATTTCAACAGAACCGTTGTAACGTAGTAATGGTATCTAATAACATTACCACTATCCTGAACGTTCGTCACATGTACATGCAATTTTAATTTTCGTAAATATATTGAATATAAAGTCACAAGGTGTTCGGCCATTTCTTATTTTGAAATGCAGTTACTTAGTAATTTTTCTATAATTATGGAACATTTTACTGTATGTTTTCTTATTTTGATACCACATATATGCTGCTTTAAACTATTTGAGGAACTTGATTCTGAAGAAACAGGTGAGTAAAACTATTGTAGAAATTCTCCTAATGTGCTAAAGGACGAAAAGATGTATGATGTAGCTTAATTTAATATTTGGCTCTACCGTATCTAATTCTAGAGATGTATTAAAATATTCACTTATGTATATTTATTTGCCGTTAGTAGTACCACGTGCTCCGTTTCTTTTCAACGGAGCTCGTGATTAATGGTCATATTTTGAAAATATATTTTAAACCCAAAATGGGGACATATATACACACACTTTGTGAATTAGGTTTGTTAAATTAAAAATAATTATTTCCCGGTTAAATTATCAACGGCTACAGCAAGAGCTAATTCCGATGACATTTTAAATTTTAAAATTTTAAATTTTTCCTGTATCTATTGCTTATTATAGTAAAGTAGCAAAAGAAAGTACGATTTGTTTAACAATATATTACTTTTTTCTCTATATTATCCCCTCTCCTTTTTTAAACAATAAACACGTTATATTCATTACAGAAATTGTGAGTGTTGAAATGGATTCATCGTTTATAAACGTACGTAACCGACGATCAGAAGAAATCGATTACCCCGGGTTTGTCGATTACAAAGTTTCCATCAGAGGGGAGGATAAACGTCTACATCTCACAAAAACAGCCCATCTGGATCGAGAAATACCTATGTATCTTATGTCAAGGGAAAATAGCCTAAAACTTCATCAACAATACACAATAGTACGTACCAGACTAATTAATCTTCATCAAAACGTATATTTATATACAGAGTATGGAAATTAAAACAGAATATCGAAATATATTAATTAACAAATATAATATAAATATTTCCTTTTCAGGGTGATATTTCCCGCCATCATTTTTTTTTTTTTACATTTTACGGAATACTGGGGGATCAAATTTGCCTGATTGATATAAAGAGTTTTTATTTACTTCTTTAAGAAAACATTACGATTCATGGAGTTCTGATGGCATGTTATTAAGTCACTCCTATTTGGTTTAAAGATTTGAATAATATCAAAGAATATATAAATAATGTACTTACGGAAGGGAATTTTAATTACAGATAAAACATTTCTTATCGACCGGCACAATAAGCATGCAGAAGGATCCCAATTACTATGCACCAACAGTACTGTTTGTGCTTGAGTATGCTGCAGCCATGCAGTGTACCAATCAATATAAGTGTATATAACAAGATAAATACAAGATATTATACACATTTTTATACCTATATTGTATCTATATTTGTATATGGTATATTACTTATTTTGTTATATTGTTGAAAACATTTTTTCAGAACTATGCTACTTATCAGGACAACGATACTGGAGCCTCCATTTTACTGAAGTGTGACGAGACCTTGCCATCTTGTAGTCTGGTAAACAAAATATATATTATGCATAGCTACACTGTCATAAACTACCCTTACGTACTACGGTCACATCATCAACATAACCCTTTAAAATTAGTTCTGTTGCGTCATCCTGTGCGTAGTATTATTTTGATTATATTGTAAATAAAGCGTTACTTTGCTTCAGTATGGCGGATTCTACCATGAAGGTGAACATTTTAGAATTCAGCCACATTCTCAAGGAAGCAAACATCACAGCATCGCCAAAACAACAAGGCCAGTGACCGCTTATCGCGATTCAAGGTTACATGGTAATGTATAGGAATTGTACGGATACTATATTAAGGTTGAAAATTAAAAGAAAAAAAAGAAGTAATTAAAATGAAAACCTATCAAATAAATGTATCAATGATTCATAGTAGTGAAAGGAAAACTACAACTGCTTGATACTAAATTTACTTTTGTGTTTTCCAAAAGGTGACGTCAATTCTCTAGGACATGATATCATCAGACACGTAAGAAAGAGAGCAGTATCCCATGGTAACAATCACGTGGTTGAAATACTTGTCTTTCTGGATGATACAATCTACAATTTGTAAGTAGATTAATAACTACAACATGATGGTATCAAATGAGAAAATAACGATAAATTAATGCCGACTAATTAAAAATGTTATTCTGATTGACGAAACGAGAGAAAATATGAACAATTGAACATTTGAAGAAACAACTGAAAAGTTCAAATGAAAAAGCCCAGGCATTCCGAATTCAGAAGCGTCCTTCGTTTCATTGACACCACCCGCTTTGTAAATAATATATACGTTTAGATAATTAAATACACGAGTACTTCACAAGATAAATAATATCAAATAAACTTTAACGATTTCAATAGTGAAGTTTTGTCAATGATGTCAGTCTTATCTGGTTTTACTTATCTATGCTTTTCTCCATTGAAAGTTTCATGAAACTCAGCGACGGAAATGAAAAAGAAGCGTTAGCGAAAATGAAGATGTACTACATACTTATAGCAAATGATGTAAGTCATCGAGACAGGTAAAATATTATAAGTCATCGAGACAGGTAAAATATTGTAAGTCACCGAGACAGGTAAAATATTACAAGTCATCGAGACAGGTAAAATATTATAAGTCATCGAGACAGGTAAAATATTATAAGTAACCGAGACAGGTAAAATATAATAAGTCACCGAGACAGGTAAAATATAATAAGTCACCGAGACAGGTAAAATATTATAAGTCATCGAGACAGGTAAAATATTATAAGTCACCGAGACAGGTAAAATATTATAAGTCACCGAAACAGGTAAAATATTATAAGTCATCGAGACAGGTAAAATATTATAAGTCACCGAGACAGGTAAAATATTTTAAGTCACCGAGACAGGTAAAATAGTAAAATAATATAAGTCATCGAGACAGGTAAAATATTATAAGTCACCGAGACAGGTAAAATATTATAAGGCACCGAGACAAATATTATAAGTCATCGAGATTGGTTGAAGCTGTATGGCACATCTTTATTTATTAGTTGTCTTCAATGTGTCTAATTCACTGTGACTTTCCGAAGTCTCGTTTTAACTCGCCGTTTGGATATTATTTCTTACTATGTATAATTATGTAATTAGCCCAACACTTAATGTGTCAGCCATCTTTCAATTCCTACTTTGAAAAACGACCTCTTGTTCCACGATATTCGCGTGAGAAAATGAAATAAATGAATTTGAATTAATCTGAAAGTAAAATTGCCAGCGCAAAGACCCTGTTTACACTCTCCGAACGTTGTCAATGAAATGGTTATGCAAACTTTGAAATAATATAATTAACAGAAATTACACACTTTTAACATATATTTAAATATGATAATACTTTTATCAGTTGCTAACATTTTAGTCTCTTTAAGAAGATACTTGATAGATACATTAATTCTAAACGAATATTTTTCACACTGTACATATTGTGATTTGTTTTTGCCAAGTAACAGGGATCTCAGATACAATCTGTCCTCACAAGCTGACTTCTTTTCACACTTCTTTCGACTTTTCAAGATGGATTTACGTTACCAGTCATTAAGTGATCGACATAACAGGTTCAAAGTCGACATCATGATCAACGGATTTGTATTTGCTCAGGTAAGATTAAGTCAAGAGACACGACCTATTTTCTAATACATATATTTTATTAGAAACAAATTCTATTTGTAGAATTATCTAATATTGCGCTTTTAAGTATGTGCCTTTTTTCTAACTTGAAATCTTGATTGTATAGTTCTTTCTATCAGATTTGGACATCATAAAGACTTTTTTTTTACTGAATTTAAAGATTTATTGCATGACGTGTGTGAATCATACCCCGATATGATCAGTGGGTTTCTTTAGTCAGGTATCCCTTTGGCTTTAGCAGCAAATCGTACATGTTTTACTTCTTTGTTTCTTTTAGACTCCCGACGGTTTCCCTTGGATACCAAAATATGTTCAGAGCAACAATATTTTCGACGCTGAGAATTCTATGAAGATGTTTGGAGATTACCAGTACGGCAACAGAAAATACCTGCCGGCTTTCGACCATGCTATGCAATTCAGCAGGTAAACCATTGATAATACATTAGTTTTATTCAAAAGATAACCGTACAATTAAGAATGCTAAGAAACAGTGATGGCTTTCAACTGAATAAAGATGTTTTGGTAGAAAAACTAAATTAAACATTAGTTTTATATGGCTAGGTCTGGAAAATCATTGAAAGGGTCAAAGCTGTAGACAAAAGTAGGCATTAGTATGGAAAATATTACTGATTTAGGCACTAAAAACATCAGAAAAATATTGACATATCAGCAAAATCATAATCCAGTTTCAATAAAAATCGGACAAATTATGAAAAAAAACAAACAAAAATTACTCGGAGACTCCTGAAAAAGTACAAAGAGAATAAGACCAGCTGTTCCGGAAGAGTAAGCGTTCCGCTTCATTCACGACATCCGCCAAATAAACTTTGATCAATCCAAGAAAAGTAAGTAAAGTCATGTTCTCAAATAAAAACAATGTATTCAACAACGGAACCAACGGGAGTCAAGCACGCCCAGTTTTATATCGTACATAGAAATAGAATATCGAACATTTGGTATTATATATATATATATATATTCTTTTAAATATTTTTGATAAAAAAATTAATGAATAAATTAAGATAAAAACATCTGTATATCAATTCCTTGTTATTCTTTTGACCACTGTAATGATTTTACATTCATTGTGTATGTTTCTGACGTCTACAGAAGGGATCTTGCGTTTTATGAGGATGGATGGCAAACCGATCTGTTAGGTAAGATAATATATGTTTTGTTTTTCTTTGATGGTTCAAATGTCCGATATTTTACCAAATGTTGATTTTTTTTTCATTGAAGTTTAAACAATATTTACTTTCTTTTTTCAGAGGTTTTAATGTTCGTGGATTTAAATAGCGAGAAATAGAGACACACGAACATAATAACCTGAGATAATATTGATCCCATTTACCGTAACACAGTGAGGATTTTATTGAAACGTCGTAACTATTTTCTACCTTTGTGTACATAGGTTTATAGTGCAGCTGAAAAAGTCAGTCGACTCCTTACCATCTCGTACGCTACGTATGTCAGTCGGCTTCACACTGGTCGTTTGTCTGAAAGTGACAGTGTAGTCATCGAATCGTCACACTTCAAACTGTTATTGGTTCTATTCCTTTGACAACCTGAAGGAAATGCTCCAAAATAACCATGTCCATATTTCTTTACCTCGTTAACTTATTAAATGCAATGTTTTCCTCATAAATCATGCAAAACTGATACAAACTTTCGTTTGTTTGTTGTTTGATTATTTGTTTTGTTGTGTTTGTTTGTTTTTATAACAGCTCTAGCAATGAAAAACTGGGATGAGCAAGATATATATGTTTTGGAAACACTGACTCTAGAAAAGAAAAAAAAAAGAAAAGGAAAAAAACAAAACAGTAGACCATTTTCATCGTGGCATTTATATTAAATGGCAAATATACTCAAAGTGTTTTTGTTGTGTTCTAGTATCATATAGAACTTGCCAATATCGTTCCGGTGTCTTACTAATGGTGTTTAATTTGAACTACTGCGTTTTTATTTTCAACATTTATCCATCTATTTGATCGTGTGTCGTTCTTTCTGTTTTTCATTTCGCAATCATATTGTATAAAATACGAATTGATATATTTCCGAAAGTAAATGGGATCTTGATTTAAGTTCGGCGACATTTCAATTTGAGTACAATCTTTGTATTTCTACAAATGACATTTGTTAACGGATAAAGATTCTCCTTAATGCATTGAACTGTTTTTTTCACCCTTGACATTCAATAATTCGCACGTGTAATATTTGCATTTCTTTGAACGTAACAGGTGTTGCGTTCAAGGGTACAACTTGTTCCACACCGACTATGGCGGTGTCCATTATAGAGGATTCTTCGTACGGTACGACTGGACAGACAGCATCACACGAATTAGGCCACAGGTAGGTCATGTACATAGTTATCAAAGACGAAGCATGAACATGTGCATCATTTGTCTGCCTTTACAGGAGGACGCGTATCTGTTTTGCTATCCAGTTATATATTTACATTAAAAAAAGTAATTTACTGAAAACATATTTTCTGAGTATTTGTTTTTCGCGATATCTTCATTAACCGGAAATAAAGCAAAGTTAAATATCCAGTGAATGTTACCAAATATACAGTATACCAAAAATCATTGAGGCTACCTATGTTAGGTGATCCCTCATGGAGAATCCCTGGCTGGATTCTAAAGCAGATTGCCTATGTTCAAATATGGCACTTGCCATCCAGGATATAGATAAGTATCAATAATGAAAAATAAATAAATAAATATCGGATGAAAAATAATAACACGAGATCAACTGATTAATAAGGCTAGTTCACCTCCCAATCTAGAATTTGACACTTCTTTCGACCAGTCCCCCCACTCCTTTAGGTTTCAACATGTAGGCCAATAGCATCACTAACGAGTCCTAGAAGGATGAAACAGCCGTATGTTGCAGTTTGGTTTATTGTTTGGCTGTACTGTACCTAATCTAAATTTATAGTGAATGGTGCTTTTCACTTGGAATTTTGTACAATTGTCTATATCTCTAACAGTATGTGGTGGTGTCTCTGTCTCTAACAGTCTGCGTTATATGTCTCTTACAGTCTATGGTCGTGTCTATGTCTTTTACAATCTGAGTTCCTGTCTTTATGTCTAACAGTCTGATGCCGGGTCTATATCTCTGACAGTCACGGATCGTGTCTATGTCTCTAACAGTCTGAGTTCGTGTCTTTATGTCTAACAGTCTGGGGTCGTGCCTCTGTCTCTAACAGTCGGGGGTCGTGTCTATGTCTCTAACAATGTGGGATCGTGTCTATATGTCTAACAGTCTGGGGTCATGTCTATATGTCTCTAACAGTCTAGGGTCGTGCCTCTGTCTCTAACAGTCTGGGGTCGTGCCTCTGTGTCTAACAGTCTGGGGTCGTGTCTCTGTCTCTAACAGTCGGGGCTCGTGTCTATGTCTCTAACAGTGTGAGTTCCTGTCTTTATGTGTAACAGTCTTGATTCCTGTCTTTGTCTCTAACACCCTGGTGCCGTGTCTCTGTCTCTAACAGTCTGAGCTGGTGTCTTTATGTCTAACAGTCTTGGGTCGTGTCTATGTCTCTAACAGTGTGAGTTCATGTCTTTATGTGTAACAGTCTTGATTCCTGTCTTTGTATCTAACAGTCTGGTGCCGGGTCTATATCTCTAACAGTCTGAGTTCCTGTCTTTATGTCTAACAGTCTGGGGTCGTGTCTATGTCTCTTACAGTCTGAGTTCCTGTCTTTATATCTAACAGTCTGGGGTCGTGTCTATATCTCTTACAGTCTGGGATCGTGTCTATGTCTCTAACAGTCTGAGCTCCTGTCTTTATATCTAACAGTCTGGGGTCGAGTCATGACGGAGATGTCGGTTGTAATGATGACAAACAATACATAATGGCGGCTTTTACTGCTCCATCAACGCAGAATGTGGCAAGACATATGTGGAAGATGTCGTCTTGTTCATCAGACGCTATTTACAATTACTTAACCAGGTAGGTGGCGCTTTCACGCCATATTCATCTGGTAATGTAAATCTAAACTTAAGATTTACAATTTTAATTGATTGTTTTTCAGCACCTTTTAAAATTTTTCCTCTCCACTTTTTCAAATAATAATTTATCTCCCTCTTGTCAAATCAGAAATTTGACTTTAAAACAATGATGACCTTAAATAAAAAAGAATGTACAATGATAAAAATATCATTGAAATCTTTCTGTAGTACATTCAGTCCATATTTGTGTTTCATTCTATCAATATGTGGAACGTTGTCCATTCTAATATCAAGCGAATTTTATCTGATAAGACAAATCACTGTTATCCAAGATTTGTTTTAGAATGAGACCTATTTGAACAATTTTATTGTATTATGATAACTGATGATCTTCAACATATTGTGACTTCTTCCCTAATCGTCTACGTTTAACATTTTACAATATTGCGTCTGATAAGTCAGCCTGACAGGATGTCAATTTGATAGGTTTTGAAACAATATGCTAATTTCATTACCTCTACCTGTAATATTTGCGTGTGATACATCAATAAAATATATAATGTTGTTGTATTGTGCCTACATTGTAATTTAAGTCCGGCTCAAAGAATTTTATGACATGTAGATTTTACAAAAGAAAATTGTCTTTATTTGACATTCTAAGTTTCACATTTCCTTTTATTGTAGGATGGGTAGCCGTGTATGTACAAAGAAGAATAGCTTTCCTAAAAAAGATTACGATAGGGACCATGGTCTGGCAAGTGGAGGACAAATATACGACCTAAGTAGTCAGTGTAAATTAAGACAGGGCAAAACATCGTTCTTGTGCCAAGTAAGTAGTAACTAAACCAAGCAGGGAAAATAGCTCAATTGTAAGATTTCAATCTTTTACCCAGTACTCTTAGGGATGAATAACATATTTTAATGGTGACACTATGAAATATGTTATTTCTATACAATTCATTTTTCGAATTCAATATAATTGTACCCTAACGCTAACGTATACATATATCTAATTACTTTCTAGATAGAGGGTAGAGGGGGGAGTCAGTATTATACATATACTTAGCCATAAGTGAGAGACCACGCATATCTTAGATTAGCCTTAATTTTGTTAGCTGTAAGAAAAGTATTCAATGAGATCTGAACAGGATATATAGAAATGTTTACACCTGGCTAAACTATATACAGACGACAGGAAAAGAAATTGAAAGAACAGGAAATACAATATTAAAAAGACAAAAATGCATTTCCAAAGTTTAGAAAAATAAATAACTTCAACCTTGATGCAATATGAAATCATCAAAACGTATTGTTTGAACAAGATGATTAACACTATTTTACTCCAACAGAAATATCCGAACTTCCGGTAAAGGTAAAACAGCTTGCACGCTAAGAACATAAACACGTGCTACACCGGAAGTTGTTAATTTGAGATTGATTGATGTTGGCAGTGTAAAAAAAGTTTAATATTTTGTAAGATAGTGTCAGATCATCTTTGGTTATACCAGTAAGTTTAAATGTATTATAACGAGTTTTCATTATGATTGTTTTTGTACAATGTGGATTACAAACATGAATATATCACATAAATAGTTGTCATTTTCCTGATTTTGTTTCCATATTTGTGAATATATATTTGTCTCGTCATTCAATATCTAGTATGTTGGAATCTAGAAAAAGGATCATTCCCCAGTTTGAGGGTAGAACAGAGATATATCTACCTTCGGAAGAGATTTCCGATAGTCTTACTCTTGGCAAAGGCTCGGGTTAGACAAATTCATTTGTACTACCCGGCTCAAACTAGGGAAAGATCAAATCAATCAACACGATCTATTGGATATCAAAATATAAATATCGAGTATAGCAATCACGCTTCCGGTACAAATCTGTGGCCTGTTACTCGTACCTGAGGGAGCTTCTGCCACTTCTGATTCAATGCAGAAAGTAATTCTCCAGTTGAAGAGAGCCTTGCACTAGTCGGTCTGTGTGGTTTGGGATTTATCTGGCACTGCAATGCGGAACAACTAAGCGTCGAAGGTTACTTTCCATCAGTAACATGCAAGTAAATCAAAAAGTTTAGAGAGGAAAAAACCTAAACAGTAACACCGTCATCAGCAAATACTGCTGTGCCCAGAAAAGCGCGGCCCTTGTAAGTAAAACGCGGTTTTCATCAGACCAGTGAACCCTTCGCCAAGACCTAACAATCCATGTCCGCAGATCACGTGCCTGTCGCAGTCTTGCTTGTGTGTCTCCTTTGCGGTCAAGAGGGGGCATTTTATTGGTTGGTGAGAGTGAAATCAAATACTGTTCATATGTCTGTTGATTGTATATATGTCGGCTAACACGAACATTGGCGTTCCATTGTCCTCTGAACCTGTTGGCGATGATGAATGGAGCTCGCCTTGTCTGTCTACACAGTAGTTTGTCTGTCTACACAGTAGTTTGTCTGTCTACACAGTAGTTTGTCTGTCTACACAGTAGTCTGTCTTTTCTATTTGTGATCTTTCGGGGTCTGCCAGACCTGGGACGTTTGTCGCCGTGGTCACTTCGATTTAGACACCAAGAAATAACAGAATGCCCTACCACCTTGAAGCCTGTCATCTTGTAGCATTTGTCAGATTTTTACGTGCAAGCTCATAATTCAGTATGAACAGGGTTATTATTTACACGTAATACACGCGCAAACGCAGCTTTAGGTGGTACACCAAACTTGTGTGTTGTTAGAGAACGGGGTACCCAAGTCTAATCCGGTAATGTTGAGTATTGGTAGCATATTTCACACAAAGGAGACACTACGAGAATGATAAGGTTTATTTTAACAAAAGGAAAAATCAGTTTTGATTAAAATTTTCACACTGAATTTTATCGTCTCTAAGTCATGGTCTGCTGTTTATTTGACTGTCAGAAAAAAATTCACATTTATGGAAAGTGTTGAGTAAGCATCTGAATAATACTAAGATAATATTTCACGTCCTTTGTGATGAATCAAGTGTCGACTACCGCTACAAGTGATATTCGGCTGGTTTACATTCTAGCCACTTGTATGATTCATTCAAAACTTTTATAAAAAAAAAAAAAACGTTGCGAATGTATTGCCATCTAAGTATTGAATGTGTGTCTACATAATATGATCCCGGATAAGGATGGTCAAATTTTACAATTCAGTACTGGTAAAATGGAAACATGACCTTAGTAAAATGTTTTGTAAACTGTAGGAGCATGATAGCGTCACTTCCCTTATAGAGAAAATCATCTCCGCAGCTCAGGTTGTCGTGTTTCCAATCAGTTAATATTCCTCTTTAATCCGTATCGATATAAGACACAGTTAACACAAACTACACATCCATTAACCTACTTAGATAAGGATTCATCATTTCCTGTTTTCATACGGCTTACTTGAATTGATTTACAGGAAGCAGACCCTACAATTTGCTCTAACGGGATATATTGTAAAATTGAAAACACGAACTACTGTCAACGTATTCTGGCCATGGATGGTTCGGACTGCGGGCAAGGCAAGGTAAGTCGTGACGCGAACTTGTTTATGTTCAATTATTTTCGCTTTGTCAAATCTTTTACAAATATAGCTACTAGTATACATCCGTTTTAACGGAAAAAAATTCGGAAAGCAAACCGAATATTTTCTAACATTGTACAAATAACAGAGAAGAGTTTAGAACTTGTCGATACAAAGGAATTAAGAATCAGTATAGACAAATAATCACTTCAGCTCCACCAGACAGGTGTTTTTCCTTACAGGAATCCATGATATACATGTGAGAGTTGCACTAACTCCAAAAAGTTTATAATTTTCATATTGTATACTTTCACATGATACATGTTATAATACCAAAAACGCTAAATTAATATTACCTATCATCGAGTAACAGTTCAAAGATTACTGTAGATAACTTAGATTTCGTGAACACTTTATTTTGCGGACTTCCCTCTTAAGACATATTCACAAATACATTATTTCGCGAGCGCTGATCTAGAAATCATTTTCAACTCAAATGAGCTATCAGAGACACGGACTTTGCGAGACTCCTAAATAGTTTACCGAGTAAAAATGGATGTCCTCCACGGTTATTTTCGTACAAATAATCGCGAGTGATTTGAATTCGCGTTTGACTATCCTCGCGTATCATTCGAAAATAAATCCCACGCGAAATATAAGTGATTTACCGTAGATGACATTATAAAAAGGTACTGTACACGATTGATTACAATATACAGTATGTAGGGATAGATTTTAAAGAAACATGCATAATTGATTAATTACGTTGCATCATGTACATAGTAATTTAATTACACCAAACCAAGAATGACAATAGACATTTAAAATTATATGGTGTGATATGAGTAGGGTGTAAAATCAAAGGTAGGCTATGTAAGACTCGATTTGGATTATTTTTAAATATCATTGACCCATAATACACAAAATGTACTCTAAATAAACAGTGCCGCTTTGGCCAATCAAACGTTTTGTTACAAAATGATTTCATTTTACGTTATGGTGTGGTAAAAAAGCCAATGGAAATGCTCGTTTCATATTTTAACCGTTTTTAACTTCATCGATAGAGTCACAATACTGTAAAATCCTATATTTTCGCGAGAGTTAGTTTTCCTGATTTTCAAAACATACAATTTCGTGGAGACTTGCTTTCATGGGTAAAATATCTATTTATACTAATCCAGCAGTTCGTGGACAATATCCGAATTCAACAGCAGTAAATCCTACACGAAAATTACTGATTTGACAGTAGGCAATACAATCATTGTCATATAATAAACCTCGTTTAAACGACATTTTTCCTGTCGAAAATATGAACAGGTGTATGATCGGATTCCCATGACTTCAATACCTTTCTGTTGTAGATATGTAACGAAGGCAAATGCGTGCGTCGATCCAAGGGTTCCGGCAATCGTCCTCGTGCTTTGGATAATATGAATTCTGGGTTTTTGAAATCGGGTGTGTAAGATTTCCCCCACCTTTTTCTTGTAGAATGGATGGCACGAAAATTAAAAGCAAACCAGATTATCAGTAAGATGGATTATCAAGATTAACTATATCATGGTATATTAGTTTTTGGGTTTGGTTGGTGGGTTACCAACGTCAGTATCAAAGAAAGAGCTGAGATACCAAACCAAATATTTTTCGTCGATGCGACTTTTCACTAAAGCTCAGTACGTATCAAATACAGTCGGTTTCGTCACAAGCTGTGGCGTTCAGGAGTTGCTACAGTAACGCCAGCTTACAAAGAACCTGAACTTCCTTATAGAAAACAAATGGTAAAAGAACTGATAGATGTAGAATCCACCAGTGTACAGTCTTTAGTGAATGATTTATGGCTTGGAAGACGCTTATATCCCCGTGAAGAGGGAAAATCATTTGATTTCCTCTCTATCATCTGACAACAGACTCATGACCGCGCAGTTTTATGATACAAGACCCATACCTTCCGACAGTCAAAGCTTGTGTATACAGCTAAGGAAACAGCGCCGAAAAATCGGCTTCATGAAGGACAGACCCAAGACAAGTATAATTGTTGAAAAATGGAAGGAAATATGTTCGTCAAGATGGTGATCTTAGAAATATGAAAGATTTGAATTTCGTTGATATTTCATGTAAATTACCGCCATGTCCATCATATAGCATCTAACCAAATTCATTAATGAATTCATGACGATAGGCTTAACACTTTTCATCCTCGTAAACAATCCCTTCGGTCATTTCGTAAGTCAACATCAAAGATGGAACAACACAATCCCTTTGGTCCTTTCGTAAGTCAACATCAAAGTGAACACAACCCCTTTGGTCATTTTGTAAGTCAACATCAAAGTGGACAACACAATTCCTTTGGTCCTTTCGTAAGTCAACATCAAAGTGAACACAACCCCTTTGGTCATTTTGTAAGTCAACATCAAAGTGGACAACACAATTCCTTTGGTCCTTTCGTAAGTCAACATCAAAGTTAACAACACAATCTCTTTGGTAATTTTGTAAGTCAACATCAAAGATGGAACAACACAATCCCTTTGGTCATTTTGTAAGTCAACATCAAAGATGGAACAACACAATCCCTTTGGTCATTTCGTAAGTCAACATCAAAGTGAACAACACAATCCCTTTGGTCATTTCGTAAGTCAACATCAAAGTGGACAACACAATTCCTTTGGTCCTTTCGTAAGTCAACATCAAAGTTAACACAATCCCTTTGGTCATTTTGTAAGTCAACATCAAAGTGAACAACACCATCCCTTTGGTCATTCCGTAAGTCAACATCAAAGATGGAACAACACAATCCCTTTGGTCCTTTCGTAAGTCAACATCAAAGTGAACACAATCCCTTTGGTCATTTTGTAAGTCAACATCAAAGTGAACACAATTCCTTTGGTCATTTTGTAAGTCAACATCAAAGTGGACAACACAATCCCTTTGGTCATTTTGTAAGTCAACATCAAAGTGAACAACACAATCCCTTTGGTCCTTTCGTAAGTCAACATCAAAGTAAACACAATCCCTTTGGTCATTTTGTAAGTCAACATCAAAGTGAACAACACCATCCCTTTGGTCATTCCGCAAGTCAACATCAAAGATGGAACAACACAATCCCTTTGGTCCTTTCGTAAGTCAACATCAAAGTGAACACAATCCCTTTGGTCATTTTGTAAGTCAACATCAAAGTGGACAACACAATCCCTTCGGTCATTTTGTAAGTCAACATCAAAGTGAACACAATCCCTTTGGTCATTTTGTAAGTCAACATCAAAGTAAACACAATCCCTTTGGTCATTTTGTAAGTCAACATCAAAGTTGACAACACAATCCCTTTGGTCATTCCGTAAGTCAACATCAAAGATGTTACAGCACAATCCCTTTGGTCATTTTGTAAGTCAACATCAAAGTTAACAACACAATCCCTTTGGTCACTTTGTAAGTCAACATCAAAGATGAAACAACACAATCCCTTTGGTCATTTTGTAAGTCAACATCAAAGTTAACAACACAATCCCTTTGATCATTTTGTAACTCAACATCAAAGTGAACAACACAATCCCTTTGGTCATTTCGTAAGTCAACATCAAAGTGGACAACACAATCCCTTTGATCATTTTGTAAGTCAACATCAAAGATGGAACAACACAATCCCTTTGGTCATTTTGTAAGTCAACATCAAAGTGAACAACACAATCCCTTTGGTCATTTTGTAAGTCAACATCAAAGATGGAACAACACAATCCCTTTGGTGATTTTGTAAGTCAACATCAAAGTGAACAACACAATCCCTTTGGTCATTTCGTTAGTCAAAATCAAAGAAGAACAACAAACTGTTTATTTCATATAATATACATTTATTTATATACTTCAAAGTAAGAACTGGCCTGACTGATTGGTTTTCACAACAACTTCCCCACTCCCTCACAGATCACAGTAGATAAGTCAAGAATAATCATATGTTTAGGCCACACCAAAATGCATTCTGTCACCAATCTTACGATTTTACCCAAGACATAGTACAGTTGACTTCATTTTATTGTAATTTCAGCATTCAATGGCATGTTTTGATTGCATCTTAGAAAAATGATTCAATTCTTGAAAAAGTTCTTTTATTATCAAACTACTAAAACGTTGCAAAAAGTTGCTTTTGTGGCCGTGGAAATTAATTAAAATGATGCAAATCTCTGATGATTTCCGAAACCATCAAATAAACACAAAATGCATTTGGTGTAGCCTTGGTTGTAGATCATACAGGCACTGAACAGAAAGGTGCAATACCGGGAAGTGATTCTCTCTCATAGACTCATTCAGATTGATGGCACAGACCACACATTTATCAGAATATATTGTAAGATTTGGTTAGAAGAACAATATGTGTTATAAATGGTGTTCATCTAAAACATATATAGCAGGCATCAAAATCATCAGTTTGCAGAGATTTTAAAAATTACAATTTAATCCAAAAAACACTGAACGGCTGCAGGATCTAAACCAAAAAGTCCTGATTTTTTTTAATCCTCTAAAACTATCAAATGTGTATATGAATTAACTACTATACTTCTATGAACATGAGCATAAGTTAATAATTTCCAAAAAAGTATAAAAAAACCATTTATATCAGACCAAGGGGAGATAATCACATCTTATCAATTAATTCCTATTATTTAGGGTCTGTAATTCATAAAAGCATGTTATAACCACATCCAACTATCATATATGAAGGGTATTACCTTAAAAAGATTGAAAACATCTAAGCAGTCTATAGTGAAAACAACTACCTTTCATCTTTCTAAACAATGTGATGAACAATATCAAACGAGAACGGTTTTCTGAATATTCAATAAACAATAGGACCTGTAAAAGGCCTTTTAAGCAACAAGACAAATATTGTAAACACTTTAAAAACATTTTCTCGAATTCAATTCAAATTTCAAAACTTCTATCAGACATTTATGTTACCATATGATATATTTTGGCATGCTCAGTTTTCAGTGTAACATCAAATTTTAAGAGACTAGCACATTGATGAACTGATGCACACACAATTTCTGCTGTAGAACACATTATACAAATTATGTAAACAGCACAAACATAATATAGCACAATAGTGATTAAGCACAAAAGTGTTGACATAAAATCCGTGCTATAATTCACAGAAACAGCAATTCATACAAACCAATAAAAATACATATTTTGAAAATGATTGAATTCAGTGGAAATAGCTGTACTTCAGACTGAAGACTGACTTATACCACATTCTATTATCAGTTTTTACTCTTACTGATATCTGCTACCAAATTAAATTTTTAAAAGTAGTTTTCTAAGAAAGGTGTTTGTTTTCCATGTATCATACATTTGCTCTTATAACCTACAATAAATGTAAATGGGTGAAAAATCAAAGGACTTGCACCAAAAATATTAGTAGATTTAAGAAATTATATATTGATTCCTAACTTCAATATCGTGTATTATTCAAACAGGTACAATATTTTTTATGATGAATTCAAAGAAAAAATGAAAAGTTTAAATAATTTAAATAATAATAATAATAATAATATATGAGCTAAATATCTGAAAAACTTCTTTCAATTTTATACTTTTCACATTCATAATTTTTTTTTTTTTTTCAAACTGTTTAGGATATGCTGATATACAATAGACAATAGCCATGAAACCACAATACCTGTATCTGTTATATATTCTCTAGGTGTTTGAGGTACAAATGACTTTTCCCTGTCTTTACATTACCCGCAAAGCTTTATTGAATAAAGAATTGAGCCATCTCTGTCTAAAATAAATAAACTTATATTTTAACAAATCTTTGTACATTAACAAAATGCAGATTACAAGAGATCATAACAAATGTGTACACCTTAATGATCAGTTTGTACTATGAAGTGAAATTTAAATAAGACAATATATCTATGGTTTTAATGAGCTTTCCCAGTATGTTCAGCTAAAGTGAAACTGTGATAATGAACAACAGCAATGGTGACAGATTATTTAAGTATTATGATATAAAAAGTTTGAAAATCATCATACTTGAACAAAGTTATTTCCATCAAAACCTGATCAATGGCGTTTAAAAATTCTCAAATTTGTGTACAGCTGAATATCTGTATTAAAAAAAGTTTGCAAAAAAGCAATGGTGTCTCCAGTTGACAGTATTTAGTGTGTATGATTTTTTGGGTTTTTTTTTTTCAAATAACAAAATTTTCGTTTGCCTAGAAATCTATTGGAAATAAGGAATTTGGAATTCATCTTGAATATCTATATTCAGCATAGATTCGTCTGTATCCACAGACAGTAAAACAATGAAAATGTGTACTTATTTGTCTAGTCTAGATAACCTATGTAAATTCATGTGATAATAAAATAAAGATCAAATAGAATTGGGGCTCACATAGATATATTCCCACCAGTAATCATTTCATTCTGAACTAAATCTATCGAGGGATTAATCAATTAAGGTGTTCAT